GGAGCAGAGGGGTTTCCTTCTCTGGCCGGTTTATTTACAAAGACGCCGTAGCATGCGGAACTTTCTTACATGGTTCTTGGGCAAGCCTTGGACCATGGCAATCCATCTTCAAGCGTTTGTAACCATATACTGTCTCATCCCTTCCCCGAATTACCATTAAGCGTAGTTCCCCCCTAATCTGCATGTTCTAACCGGTATTTAATAGTAGTGGTGGGGATTTCTCCTACGATCCGAGCATCAGGGCAGGTTTACCATGGGGTCGTATTGAAGATTGGACTCGTGTGCAAATCGAGTAAGTCTTATGAGGAACAATTTCATATGAAGGTTTCGTTAAGGATTATTTCAGCTTAGGGCCTAATTAAGGACATCTTCAAATTGGTTTTATTCCATATTAGGGCTGCGTTAGAGGTTAGTTCAATTTAGGGCCATATTCGGGGCTATAGCGCTGTAAGCCCTTATTGGAATTATTTCAAGTTAGGGCGTTGTTACGGAATATACAGGATGGTGGTCCTATACTAAGGGTTAGTTCCAATATTAGTGCTTTCTTCGGGACTACTTCAGATTAAGGTCTTTTTAGGGAGTAATATTAGAGACGATTTGCAAATAGGGCCGTGGAATCAGTTTCCGTATTTGGGTATACGACTTCCTTTACAATACCACGCAAACAAGAATCAGAATTTAGGAAACTAAAAAGATCCCTAGCCCATAGGAGTCCTGCTCAGTCCTGGCCCTTTTCAACGTAGTCTCGGGGGCAGTTTTCGGAAGTTGGAGTTTTGCCGTACCCATATTGACTATTAGGGGGGGTTGAATACTGGGAGGAAGGGAGGAACGAATCAGCCTTAAAGCTTCAGCCCCGCGTCCTAACTTCCCTATCCCCAAAACTGCAGTAGCGCGTCCAAGGGAGAGCGAGGACGTGACCATCGCCGGAAGTGCGGAGCCGAGGACTACAAGGTTCCTGGTCCGCAATCGCGCAAGCTAAGCGCAAGGAGCTCCCCTGTTTGGAGCCTGGTCTCGGGCATTTTGTTGTGGTCGACCCTTACCCGTCAAGCATTGCGTTGCAGGGAGGGTAGTCCGTAATACGAATTTTTGAGGGTTAGACAATCTGTGGGCAACGACCTTGGCAAAACGTATGACGGGCTCAATTGATTGAGTTCGCCTCTACCTCCAGATTTGCGATCAAATTTAAAAAGCGTGAGCAGGCGCTTTATCTATGAGTCTGCTGTCTCCAGCGCGCTTCCCAATTCTCCAACGCATGTGAAGGCAGATCGTGGCGGCTACTCCCAGCACCGTAGCCACAAAGCGCCCTGTACTGCTTCAGATTGCTAGATTTTTTTCCGTGCACCCTCTTCGGTGGCTTGGGCGCCTGCACTTGAAACCGAGGACATTCATGTTGCGAGTTTTCAGTGGACCTCTCCCGCCTAGCAGTTGTTCAAGAAACTAATCTTGCGCACTGCCCTGGTACTGCAGTGAGACACAGTCCGTAGTCGGATCGACTTCCAGGAAGCACGCGGCGAAGGACAGCGTTGGGCCGATGGTGAGGCCTCGCTTAGCATTGGTGCTGTTCCTGACATGTATCAAGCCTCTTGTCTTGCAGACGCTTCGCGAAATAACATTTCGGATCACAGAGCATGCTGCAGAAACGTTCGTGCTGTTTGGACAAGTTTCGTTGCTGTTCAGAGCAAGCGAATGCTCTTCCTGAGCGAGATCAAGGGCTCGTGGGAGAACTGCCGCAGCGAGTGCCTCACGTTTGGCCACTGGACCGCAAAAAACGAGACGATACCCAATCAGAATCTTGAATCGTGCAATCTTGGTTTGAAGGGCCCAGTCCAATTTCAGCCCTGTTCACGGGCTGCTGTTGACCGTGTTACCAACGCAGCGGCAGTGACTTCAGCACCAGCAGCAGATCTAGATCCAGCAGGGAAGGCAGTTGAAGTTATAGTGGAGGTGCTCTTCTGTCATGGCTTTCAGATTCCCAGTCGCCGTAAGCCCCGGAGCTCACTCATTCTTTACAAGAGCCATCGAGAGGCTTGCAAGGCCCCAAACCTTCCCCGTCCCGCTCAGGCGACTTGCAAGGCGGTACGATCCGCCTTCAGACGGCTGAGCCCGGGCGTCGCAAGCTGCGAAGCAGCTTGTGAATGCGCGCGAGCCCTTGGCCTTAGTACTGCAAAAGCAGAGTGGGCACGAAGCAGTTGAGGCAAGTGGGATTGTCTGACACGTGACACCTGCGAAGCTCCCATACAAAACCCCAGATACAAAACCCTAGGGATGGAGGGCGTGGGTCCAGTGTAACCCTAATTGCCTGGAGGCAAGCTTCTTCGCTGCGTCTGGAAACACGACGGAGACACGGGCTGGCTCCCACAGTTTCCCGTGCTCCTGGGCACGGAGAGAACACCCTGTAAGGTTGGGTTGAGGGTCTGGGGCCTGGGGCTTAGGGGATTTCACGGGCTTAGCGTCTCCGGGATTTGGCGCTTTAGGGCTTCGGGGCCCCATGAAAACCCCAATGCAAATGCAGTATCGCTGCATGTTCCTGACCTTTTCCGTCTGACTGAGCATTTTTTTGAGCCCTCTACCCATGGACTGCCATGCTTATGGTTTGGGGTGTTTGTCTCGTGAGGCATGACTTGAGAGTTGCCTTAGGGGTGTTCAAGTAAGCAGGGGGAAGTTTCATTTTTTCTAAGGCCTTTACCCTCTACCCATGGACGGCCCTGTCTGGCCTGTCTGGTACGACTTGCGAATTGCTCTAGGGCTGCCCACGTAAGCAGAGGAAGGTTTCGGGGGGGCTCGGGGCTTAGTCGATAGTAACTCGGTAGTATTTGTTGGTGGATGCTGTGGGACGGAATATAGAATGAGACGAGACCCTCCTTAGGGGTATAGCATGTTGTACACATAATATAATAGTACCTGGCTCAAGCACCAAAAACCACTACTTCATTCAAGCATCAAGGCTTCGGGTTTGGCACCAGTGCTTGTGGAAAGCTCCTCGAAGCAGGACGGCATGACAATTTCATGAAAGATCCTAAATACCCGGCTGCATAGGTGCTTGCGTTGTCCCACCTGCATACTGTTCAGTAACATGACATATTGGGGTCTGCTCCTGTTCCTGCCTTCCACTCCTGTCCTTTCTGCAGTTACTTCACCAGTTGATGCGTCTTGTATTTCCATACGTGTTTGTGCTCCTCCGGTTGTTAAGCAGTTTAGTTTTGTATTCCTGGACTCCCAGGACGTCGTTTCTGGTGGTCAAATCTAATTTCCCGGCTGTACTCTGTTTGTCTCGGTTCACAGTTCACGACAGTTGTATGGTCATGGTACGGGTGTGGTAGTCGCGTCAAACTTCCCTACTTGTTCTATCGTTTGCCATGCCCCAGCAAGTTCACAACACGGATAGCTGGTGGTTTTCAAGGTTTTGCTCCCATATGTGTTCACAACCCTTGCAAAGTCATGATACACATAAACCATGCTGGTTGTTTCGTGAAACCTCCCTGGCCCCTCTGAAGTGATCATTGCCACGCAATCATCATCATGCCGGGTTGTTGCATTGCGCCTTTCCCTCTTTCTGTCATGTTCGATGCCTTTGCCTGGTCTTGGAACAGCCAATTTCTTGTTTTGTTGAGACCTTGCCACTCCTATAGTGCTCTCTAAACCTGCCGTTTGAAGAGCGTTAAGCTCGATGTTTGTATTGACGCTCCTTACTCCGTCCTTGATAGTGCATGCCCTTGAATGGTCATGGTACCGAGCACGTCATGCCTGGTCGTTGCATGTCGCCTTTGCCTCTTTTGGTGTTTGTTTCCTGCGTGCTTTTTGTGTTGATCTTGTTTCTCTTTATGACCCTTTTTTGGGCCAAAACGCGGGTCTGCGTGGTTGAGTCAAACTTCTCTTCCCCTTTCATACTGTTCCCGACGTTGTGTGGTCATGCTACAAGTAGCATTGTGCTTAGTTGTTCCATGCCACCTTCCTGTTGCTGAGTGCTCTGCGGAAGGGGTCCTGTTTTCCATGTTGCGATGTGGGAATCTATGGCCGAGCAAACTCATTGCGCGCGTGTCCGCAAGCGTCCGCGAAGTGTCCGCAACGCGTCCACCACAAGGGTTCGCAAAGCATTCGTGCCGTCACACCATCCTTGGAATTGTAGGATTTGTCGCTTTGGGACCGTCGTTGCTGCGTCGCGTGTCACAGGTGCATTCAGTCACGGGGCACGGGGCCGGGCGGGGCCGGGAAGCGCTGCTGCTTCGTGGTGTGTGAGACGTCCATGAGTGCCAACAGTCACAGGGCTGCTGCACCTTGGGGTAGCCATCTTGGTAACTTTATCTGCTTTTGGAGAGTCACGTCCTTGTTGCGCGTGAAGAGTGACAGGGATGAGATTTGAGACCCTTTGGGGTTGTCATCCTGGCCATTGTGGCCACTTTTGGAGCCTTGTGTCTTCACCTCATGTAAGACATGCCCACTGTCGCAGGCAAGGGCGCCTTCAGTTTGACATGGTCGTACCTGGTCGTGTCTTCGTCGCATGTGGTCGGAACGGGACAGTGAGACTCGCCATCCTGGCTCTTGGACGTTGCCAGGGAATGCCGGGACTGCGCTACTTGCGCCATTGCAGAATGGAATGGAGTGGAAGGGACAGGTGTGAGGCGGAGGTGGAGAGTGATTAGGAAAAGCAGTCGAGGGTGGAGTGCAAAGAGAAGTGGACACAGGAGTCGAGTTGGCGAGGTTCTGCGGCGTGCAAGGCTTGTGCTTTTTGCTGGCATGTACCTTCCCTTCCTCCTCTTCTACCCTACTCTAGTGCTAGATAGAGCCCGGCTAGCTTTCGTTGGCCTTGGCTTGCACCTCAAGTGCGTTTTTTTTGCTTGAAGACAACGTGCTCTGTCAAAACTTCGCCTCTGTTTCTCATCATTCTCAATTACATGGTTGGTTGATCCTCAACCTGGCACAGGATAGGTTCTGTGTTGAATCTTGTGGTCACTTGCCACTTTCTTGCGATGTTTGAGCATGCTGTTGGTGTTTATGGGCAGGGATACCTCTCCCCGTACCTGTGTCTTGACGCGTCCAACCCGACAAGCCGTACCTGGGAAGCGTGCAGCACTTAGTCAAACTTGGAAGCAGCGAGAGTATGGCAGTTGAAGCAAGACGCGGAGAGAAGCTGTCCAGCTGAATGCCTGGTCAAGGAATGCACCTTTGGTGCTTGTCACTGACCAGAAAATCTCCATGGCCCAACAGGCAATTACCATCAGCGGTCACTTGAGTCACATAAACCTCGCCAGCAGGAGCTCATCCCTATTTTGACGATTGCAAAGCAGATGTCGAAGCCGCTCCTCATCGTTGCAGACACAATAGAGAAAGAGGTGTGGGCCGTCTCAGGAATTTTGCGGCCCAGCTAGCGTCGAAGCTGCAGGTACTGGCGACGCTCATTGTAAACAAGATTCGAGGCATTGTCGACTGCTGCAGCAACCTAAGCGAGTATCTAAAAGCGTCAGCCGAAAAGATGCTGTGCTGAGGTGCGATCCAAGCACCTGGTTTCGGTGACAACCGCAAGGCCATCCTGCAGGCAGGGTAAACATCTCCAAAGAAAGCTCGCGCCTTGGTTTGCAATGCTGTTAAGGACATTGCCCTCGTAACCAGTGCCACGTTGCTGCCTTGGCAGTTCTTTGCGCAATTGGCGGAGGTTCTATAGATTTGTTGGGCATTTATTGCTACGGCCTGCCTTGGGCAAGGTACATCACGGAGGACCTTGGCCGCAAGCTGGAGTCTGTCACTGCTGTGGACTTCGGTCTGAGTCCGAGAGATTTGACCTGCGAGACAAGGGAAGTAAAGAGTACTGCAGCACTGCAGCTCCGGCACAGTTCCTGAAGGTTCGGCCCGCAGAATTTCCGTTGGTAAGGACTGCTTGTCAGCCCGTTACGGGAATAAGCGGGTTGCTGCAAATGCACCTGACTTAACGTGTTCAGGACTCAACCACAGTTGTGGCTGACGCTCCCAAAGAGGCGGAGCAAAGTTGTGAGGAGTCGCGCAATCTCCGGCGGAAAATAGATGTGTCAAGGCCTTGGAGGAGCGCTGTGAGCAGCTCCGGAGGCCCCTTGCCCTGCCCAGCCGATGGCCGTCATACATCTGCAGTGCACAGCTTGTGCCACTTACAACCAGGGAATGTCTTCATTGCTTGGCTAGTAAGTCTACAAGGTCCTTGTACCTGGCACATAACTTGCTAGGCAAATCGAGGAGACAAAGAGCAGCTACACGAAAGAGCAGCTCGAGAAGCGCCTTGCAAAGTTGGTGGGTGGCGTGGCCCTGATCAAGGCACCTTTGCTGTCGGCTTCCGTAGCTGCTTTGAGTAAACGCTTACGCTAGCAAGTCACGAAAGCTCCTTGCGAGAGAGCTTGTCCACTATTTGGGGGCAGATTGGACAATTGAGCGTTTTTTGGGGGAATAGCTTGCCAGGGTATTGGACGGGGAGCAGCGGAGAGCTACTTTTGCGGCCCTTTTGGAGCTCGTCAACCACATGCATTCGGGGGCCCTGGGAAGAGAAACGGATACCTCATGATTCTGCTGATGATGGCTTGCTGAAACTGAAGGCCTTGTTCCGTAGGAGAAACAAAATGCCGGCTTTGTTGAGCTTTCGTTTCTGCGCTGTCTCTCCAGCATTGCAAGGTTGGAGCGACCACAGAGACAGAGTTGAAGGCAACCCGCCCCGCTGCATCCCAACAGTGAGCCACTGCCCTTTTTGCAGAGGACAAAAAGCTGCGATTAGAGGACGCGATTAATGCCACGAAGGTCCCGAACCTCGGTCTTCGCTTTCCATTTCCGTCCTCTCGACATCCCATTGATTTGCCTTGCATCTTTGGATTCAGGCCGCAGTCGACGAGGGGATTGTGCCTGGAGGGGGTGCGGCTCTGTTTCTGGCTCAGATTGTTTGAGCTCCAGTGGGATTCGGGACTTGCTTGACGCCACCGCTGCCAGGTGCCACCTTTCTGAGGCAGTGCGAAAATGGGCTCCAGAGAACCTCGCTGAGGTCTGGTACAACACGCTCTGAAACTGAAGTGCCTCTTCATTTTTGGATTGCTTTCCAGGATGAGCTGAAGGGTGCCCTTATCGTGGCTGACTCCATGAGCGCCCCGCTGAAGCGCATTGCGGTGCTGCCAGCATGTCGATACACAAGCGCTGCAACAAGTTCCAGCCACGTGGATGGCTTTGTTGTCAAGGCGAATGCTGGCCAAAATGGCGAGCTGGTAGCGGAGAAGGCACAGCAAAGACTGCTGAACTGAACTTGCTTCTGGTAATTCACAGCAAACATGTCCTCTGTTTCTGCAGGTTGCAGATACCACAGACACCAAGCAAGGACGGGCAGTGGAATGCTATTCTTCTCGCTCCCACAACGCTTGCATCATGTCAAGCGGCAGGCTTTGATGCACTGCTGTTAGAATATGCCGACATGCTCGAGTCGGCAGCTAATTCGCAACAATCTTCCTGCTGTTCACAAATCTCAGAAAACCTAAGGCGGGGCATTATCGATCCCGCGAAGGTGCGAAGCGTTTTGTGATATCTGCTGATCTTGGCAAGAACAGTTTGTGCGCAGGTGACGCGATCTGCCCTGCAGAATGCAACATCAATTGCATCCATGATTTTGACTACCGAGTGCGCCCGGGCCCAAATCGCTCAGTGAGGGAGTTTTCCGTGGCAGCCAAGCTTGCTTTTTAAATCATTTTCTGCTGTATCCCCTGACTGATGAAAGAGTGGCGTAGGTGGTGGTCGATGCCAACAGCAAGGATGACGACGACGATGATGGTGAGGAGGATTTTGACGTTCCGCCGTCTGTTTTAACAGGTCTGTCCAGGGAATCATTTCTTGTGTTGGCTCGAGATTCCCAATTTGTAGGCATGTTACACAATTTCAGATCACAGACTTTGTAGTGCATATCCAAGTCAGCTATACCTCGCGCTTGCGCGCCAGGATTACTGAGGTCAAGAGCTTGGCCGCAGCCCGATCTCTTATTTTCTGCATCCCTGATGCTATTCGCAGCCGAGGCCTTCGAATTGGCCATGTGCTGCAACGTGATCGTTGCTGGTATCCATGTGCTTCCAGATGCTTGAAACGACGGTTCTAACTCCTTGATGAGGAGAAGAGCTTCGTGTAGTCGGGACATGCATGGCGCCATTTTTGTTTCTGCACAAGGGCCACTTGCAGTCCTGCGATCTTAGCGGCTTAGCATCCCACAAGTTTGGGATGCTCTGTCTTGGTTCGCGTATATTTTTAAAGTAAGTCTGGGGATCACTGAGAGCTTGACTGTTGAAGATCGCTCTTCTGGGACATGCATGATGTGCAGCACTGATCCGAAGAATGGCCAGCGGGGATGAGATGGCAAGATTAAGAATGCGACGCTTCGATGCTGTCCTGTCACTGTACGTTTTGAACTCTAGTCGTGTGACGAAAATTGTGTTGATGTCTGTGCGTCGCCCCTCTCATCCTCGGGTAGAGAGTTGGGTGTATTTGGGTGCCTGCACTTTTGCAGCCGCCTTTGCAAAGCTGGAGAGTGCGACCACACGCCCCTGATCCAGAGGCTTACGCAATTGCTATCGCAATTGAACTCTCTTCGTCTCTCTTGCTTATTCTTTCTGCCTTAGTCTCTTGATCCTCGGAGCAGAGGGATGCCAAAGACTCAGAGACTGGCCAGTGCCGAACTATCAGGCACAGAAAAGGATGTCATATGAATCTGGTGGGCCGGGCCACGTCCAGCCTGCACAATCTGGAATCATCCGCCCCTCACACTACTTGCAGCATTCAGAGCTTGACTTGCGCATTGATCACAACCACACTTCTATTTCTTCCCGCCGGCGCTTAGCTGCTTAGCTCAACGCTGGTATGACAACAGCCCAGTACATATTCGCATCTTCACTGATTTCGCGTTGCACATTCTCTTGTACCACTAGTAAGAACCGAAGGCCTGCACCGCTTCGCTGCAGTTTGCAATTAATTAAAGCCCACCCCAGATGCTTGGACACGGAGGAAAGTAGAAAGGCTAATGGTGTTGACAACCCTTGGTCCTTTCCGGAGATTCTTCGAGGCGGGATGACAAACCCTTTGTTTTTTTTTTTTTTTCATTTTCTGACTTTGGCGAGGACTGATGGCTCCGCAGTGCCATGACGGAATCGGCAGTGACAGTGACTGCTTGCTCGCTTTACTTTCTGGTGTTTTCAGTGACGGAACCTGTGTCGACTCCGCTGGAAGACTAGAAGCATCATGAAATGCCAGCGTCGGCGCAGCTCAACGGAGACGACGAGTGATGAAAAGCCTGTGGCTTGGAATTCCACGTGCAAGCTTTCCTCCCATTTGCCTCTCCTCAGTCTGCTGAGGCCCTTCAAGAAGAGTGCAACAGTATGGATCCCAGACAGCAGTGTCACCGAACATGCCAGTGAAGCATGGCCACCGCCAGGAGCAGCTCGGATCCAAAACGCACACTCGGCCTGCTTGGAACGTTTGCAAGCTGAAGCATTGATAATGGCAGTGGCTTTTCCTGGGAAACGTCAGGGGGCTCAATGCCTGATTGCATTGCTTGGAATGGCATATTGACTGCGCAATGGAGAGCTCAGGGCAGAAACAACCAATTAGAAACCACAAGTAGTGGAAATCTACCGCAGTTGGTGCCGTTTGACAAGCTGACGTGCTCAGCTGCTAAGCTTAAGTTGACAAGATACATAATTTGTCCCCAAGCTCGTGCCGACAGGGGGAGAGCCAGAACTTTCACGGAGGGCTGCGGGCTTCCGCACTCCACTAGTCTGCCTGCGGATACTGTCCGGGTCTCAAAGTGAAACCCACGTTACTGATACAGTTGGGCCGCACTCTCAGGAGAAGGATCTTGGGATCGAGAGCACATATGTTGCCCGGAAGCTCGATCCCTACATGATGATCGCTGTTGCTGGTCTTCTGTAAAACTGTGTCTTGGGATGATTCTCGCCTGAAGGTTTAAGAACGCTGTCTCGCGCATGGGGCTGGCCCTGCGGCCCACCCTGATCAGGCCACCAAGCTTTGACTACAGCAGCCGTCAGCAAAGGACAAGTGCATCTGCCACACGTGAGCGGCTCGCAAGGGCTCGTGCAGCTGATGATGTTGTGCACACAACGTCGGAGCATGAGAAGGACCTCGAGGCATCCAGTCGAAAAGTTGAAAGCAGCTTGCGACTAGCCTGGCTGCAGGCATCCCTGAAGCCACCGGGCAGAAACCGGCCTGCCCTTCGCTTAGCACAGTTGGCACAGTGTGGCACAGTGATGCAGATTCTGAAAGCAAGCTGCTCCTAGTGGCAGTTGGTGAACATCAAGTGATTTGGCCTTTTGTCCCGCTCAGGGAATGGCGGAGATCGCCTTTGACAGCGGCTCTTCTCAGTGCCCTCCTTGCTTCTTCACCTTTCAGTGAGGTTCCGCTCCGGGATCCGCTTTTTCCTCCCACCATTGCAGTCACCTTATAGATGTTCCGTGTCTGTCCACAAGAAAACCTGACCTTCTACATTACAACCCAATATCCTTCTTGCAGCGGCTAAAGATGTTGAGAGCAAGGACTGCCTTTGGCATGCAGCTCCTGTCACTTCAAACTGCAGAACACTTTGCCCAGTATTGAAGCAAGATGTCCTCTAATGAATTCACGTGGCCTGAGTTTGTCATGCTCAGTCTGCAGAAACCACAAGGATCTCAGACACATGTACTGCTTCATTCAGCATCGCCATGGACCAGGTATTGTCTGATCTCGCACGAGGCGCTTCCGGACCAGTTGTTGGAAAGGATTGTGCAGCCAGTCAGATTCCCAGTATCCTCGGGCTTCCAGTCTGCAATTGCACGGTTTTTCAATGCGTTAACATCCTGCATCTCTTACAGTGATCTAAGGAGTGGGGGCTCCGGAGTCCCAACCTCATCCTTTCCATCATGGGAGGCACGATGTGATTCGAGATGATAACAAAGATCCTAGCCAGCTTTGCAACGAGCAGAGCTTCGCAGGTGCAGGAAACATGAACTTGCCTCCGGAAAAGTTCGACATAGATGGCTTCTCACAGGGATTGGTTGAGGCTGGAGAACTCGTGGAGTATTGGGCTGCTTGGCAAAGTATGTGAGGCTGCCACGCGAACCTCTGCCTGGGTCATCACGGGTGGTACTGCAAGTGGAGTCATGGACATTGTGGGCAAGGCTCCAGTACCTGCTGATCTTCTGGATGGCAGCACAGGGTCAGGGGGGGTGGCTTGCACAGGCCATGCAGAGGCATGACAAGCAGCGTCAGGCCGCAGGGTCATTACTGTTTACCTTTAGGCTCACAGTGTGCTCGTGTGGCAGGTGCCATGCCTTGGCATCACTCCATATGGCAGTTGCCTGAGCTGTATGTACTGGGAGTATGAGATGCTTTAAGTGCCAAGGCGCACTGACTTGCAAATGGCGCGACCTTGTCAACTCCGTCTATGTGTGGGGTCTCAGGTATCGCTTTGCATTCACTCATATGTTCTGGGTGATTCTGGTGAGCACCGTGATTAAGTAAGGATTCTGGATGTCCTGCAGGGACAAAGGCCAGACTCTCGGTGAAGGGCCAAGCCAGGCCTCGTGCTAGCTCATTAGCGCTGGTCCAGGTGGATGCTGCTGCCGCAAAGCCTGCAGAGGGGGCGGCCCCAGAAATGGATAAGAACATTCCGTTGGCGGCTCTTCAGGATCTGACAGATATGAAGCTGAGCAGCATGATGCATGCTGTGCTCATCTCTGAGAACCAAACTTTGAAGATGTGGTCAGGACAACCACTCGCACTTCATCATTTGTGACAATGGCGACGTACAACCCTTTGTGGTCAAAATGCAAGGGTCTGGAGGAAGTGTTGCTCGCATTTCCAGGTGGGAAGCAAAGCCTTCGGCACCGAGATCCAATTCCGTGGCGTCCTCATCCACAGAGACCTGCTGTCTCAAGTTCGGCTTGCAACCTCTCTCGACGTCTCGCCGTTAAGGCACCAAGTTCGAAGAGTTCGTGACCCGGGCGCGGGACTTTGTATAGCTGTGTCAGGAGGTGCAGAGTTGTGGACAATTCTTTCACCTCCTGCAGGGTGCAAGCGCTTGTGGTTTGCAAACTAGGGTTCCGCGAGTGCGGTGCTGAGACTCAACTTGCAGATGACTCGCAAGACAGCTTTGAGACCTCAGCTATGCCACGCATTGCCCTCCTACCTGGCTTAGGTGATGATCCTGGTGAACGGAGGCAAGATCTCTTTGATATCCCTCGTGCAGGTGGGAATTGAGTCACTCAGTGAGGCTGCGAGAGCTCTCCTTGTCCCTGAGCTGCTCCCTCTGCCAGGCCATCAAGACCGGCTGCCCTTTGGTGGTCTGTCAAGGCAGGGGTGGGGAAGGCTTCAAGCTGACCTGCCTCACAATACTGTGGCGTACTCTAAGGGACCCTTGGGACATGTCGGGGGTAACAAGATATTTATGGGGTGCTTGCCAGGCACTCTACGGGGTGCTTGAGAGACTTTGAAATATAACCTGAAAAGATATTCGGTAAATGAGGATGGTCCACTCCTTGGTCACATTGTGATTTTCCCTGCTGACTCTCACCATCTGGCCACATCCTGCCAGTCCAGTCGAGGCCCTTGCAAAACAGCAGCAAGTTCCGCCGTTGACGTTCCAATAATGATGTCACCCTTTTGCTACTGTATGGGAGCATCTACGAGGTGGTAATTTACGAGAGATTTGGAAAGCAGTTGGGAAGTTTACTGAAGTTTACCTTTTTGAAGCCGCAACCTGTTGCCAAGTCCTGCTCCACTCCGCAGTCACTCGAGGGTCACTCTCGAATTTGCTCTGGCAGGAACTGGCCGCATCGCAGATGTCATCTGCCGTATTCTCGAAGAGCCCTGCCCGGAAGACACTGATTCGGAAGCGGAGGAGGCAGCACTCACAAGATGTGGCCGAGATTCAGAAGCAGCAGCTTGTCCAGGAAAAGGAGTCCATGACTGAGGAGGAGCAGTTTAAGAAGACACTCGACCAGGCCCTGCAGGCAGGATGGCACCTCCTTCGGAAAGCTTGTAAACGAATTAAATCCGAAGCGGTGTGCCGCCAGGAGTTCATGCCCAAAGACACTTTGACGCCGGAAGACGTGGCGAACTTCCAGTTAATTGCCGGGCCTGAGATCGAATTATGATGATAAGTGAAGGTTCCGATGCATAGTCAGGTCCAGAGTGAGATGGTCGAGATTTACACCATTAACGACCGCTTTGAGGTCTGACGGTGTTGCGCAGCTTTGACCATTCAAGTAGCAGCTTCGTGAGGGTCATCGCAACAGGATGTTGTGCTTCGTGCCGTGCTGGGCAATGTCACCTCTGCCACGAAGTCCACGCAGAAGGTCGGTGTATGGCACCCCTGGCAGGCTTCAGGTTGGCGCGTGATTCCCTCTGTCCTTCTCCTGAAGCCACGCCCGCGGAGCCAGGCAGCAGCTTTCCCTGGCAGTGCAGTGGGGCTGTGGTGGCCTTGAGTCTTTTTCGAGTGAAGGCAGGTGATCATGGATTTCCTGAGGTGCGGGCTACTACGATCGTTTGGGTCAGAGGTCGCATCAGAACTTGGATACTTCCGAAGCTGAGTCCTGCTCGCATTCAGGCTGGTGCTGGAGAGGGGTGGCTCTGAACGAGGACCCGAAGCTGTTTGGGCCTCTGGTGCTGTGGGGTTTACAGTGGCCACAAGTTTTTAAGTTGCTTAACTCAGGCGATTCGGCTCATCTTCAAGGAGCTTGTTGGTTTTGGCTCTCGAGAGGCCAGCTGAGATCACAAGACCAATTTCGCTTGCAGCATGGAACGTTGCACCGAAAAGGCCAGAACACCAATAACCCTTGTTCGCAGCGTGCGCGAGAACGCAGGTTCGCCCCTGCCTTTTTTCTCTGTGCAGCAGCTGGTAGGGAATTAGCATGATCACACCAACAGGAAGTGAGTTGCATGCCTTGCATGATGAAGACTCGCCTCAAAATTCTAGAGGCTGGGTTAACTTCAGGCGTCCTCGTAACTTGGCTTCTGCAGCACTACCTGAAGCAGATGGATCAGTTTGAGGCGAGGGACACTTCTGTATGTTTGAAAGTTGAACATCTTGGGTGCTCTCAAAGCTTTCGAGGTCAACGCTGAGACTTTGCCGCCTGAGAAGGAGGGAAAGCCTTGCATTCACTGGAGTCGTCTGGGGTTCCAAGCAGCTGGGCCGCAATTCGGGGGTGAAGGGTCTGAATCTGAAACACAATTTCATGCTTTTGTTCTGCCCAGGAGTCCTGGAAGTCCTTGGAGGGTCTTCTCCTTTGGTCCATTGAAAAGGTTGGCAGATGCAGAAGCAGGCGCTGCTTGATTGCCGCCTCCTGCCAGGAAGCTCCATCCTCTGTCTTGGAGACCATCTGGTCGTACATGGAGGACGATGTCCGTTGCATACTTGGATTATGCACAGCGATAGAGCCTTGTAGGACCCTGTCCACGCAGCTCTGGTGGCAGCATCTGCTTGTCGAGATACCGCGGAGAGGGAACACTTCTACACATCGTGCTCTGTGAGTCATTCATGCTTTTGATGACGAGACTTGCTGACACTCGTAGGAACCTTTCACTCTCAGTGCTTGGCCCAGGTACCAAGATGGCCTGGCAAAGAAGGAGCTGGATGATGCAGCCGATCGCTTCGAAAGGTCCGGCTGCGATGCTTTGATTTGAACGCCTCAATCCTTGTCAACGGCCTAACGGTGCGCCTGCTGCAGGCTGGCATGTCTTGTCCTTGAGGACCTCGCGCTGTCTGGAAAAGGCTTGGAAATTTCCTTCATCCATATCTGCAAGCCTGTGCAAGCTCTGGCCATTGCTAAGGGGTGGACTACCTCTTCCGCGAGTCCGCCAGGTGGCAGGCCAGCTGTACAGGTGCTTCTCGTGGCAGTGCTCCACAAAAGCTCTCATCAGGGTCGTACCTGCTTCAAGATTGCCCATGAGCTAGGCCTTGGTTCAGCATTTCTGGCAACAGTAAGCCTTCCTGGTGGTGACGGATTTGGACAGGCTGCAAGACGTTCGTGTCGGCGACCTTCTACCGCCTGGCAGTAGACTTGTACTGGATGACCCCGGTCCCTTTTCAGATCAACAAGTCGCAGCCTTGGAGCCTAAACGATTTCAGACACTGGCTCTGACATTGACATGTCAAGGAAGCAGCTGGATGCGCAGTTCCTTCGATGGCCGGAGCCATCGGATGCACAATTCCCACTTGCGGAGCACCGCAATATCACAGGAAATCATGCTCAGGTGGCCGTTCCTCAGTCTGGCTTGGAACTTCAAGGCCCGGCTCTTCAATTTAGACCGGGGTTGCTGGCGACTCTTTCGGTGCAGGCTGCAGGCTTCCCTCTCTGGGAATTCCTGTCCATACCTTCGATACAGGCCGCAGTTCACAAAAGTGGGTTTTCCGTGAGATCTGCTTCCATGGATCTTTTGAGGCCTGGACTCACGGAGTCGCTCGAGGCTGCTTTGTGCCTTGGCTTTTCAAGCTAGAGCCAAGGCTCCAGGGAGAGCACAGCATGAAGACAGCTGAGCGTTGCAAGCCAAGGTTGGCCTCTACTCCTATGCGGTGTTCTACAGGTTCCTCACGTTGCATGATAACTCTTATGTCGCAACAACTGGACATTCAGGCTGCTGACCTTTGGTGGCGTGAGCTTCGTGGAGGCATGTAAGTGTATGTGAGTCGGATTGACGGCTTCAGTGTGGAAAGTGAAAACGCGGGGGAGGCTGTGCTCTTCCTGTGGGGCCTTGGCTTGGGTATGGTAGAGATCAAGCAGCTGGAGTCCAGCGGCTTTCAGGCGACTTTGCTTACAGGCTCTCTCCCATGGCTTGTGGCAGTGCATAGCTCGCCATGTAGGCATATATACACGACTTCTGGAACTTCTTGGACGCTCTGTACCTTGGCTTTGAAGCATTAGACGGTTCGCATGCGCCTGCTGGATTGCTGAGGCACATAACTGTGCTGCTTGGGTGTCTCGTTCTGGGCGTGTTGCTGTCTGACAAGAACGAGGAGATGAACGAGGCGATGCGAGACCTCAAACTTCTTCACGCCTTTTGCATGGTGCATGAAGAAGCTACAGCCCGCATCTTGAACGTCTCTTCAACTGGACTGTTGGAGGGTTGTTCCTGAAGCAACAAGCAGTCATCTGACAGACCAAACTTCGAGCAGATCGGCGTCACACGCTGCGTAGATCACTTAAAGATCTTAAAGAAGTTCTGAAGCGATGCTGCCTTCGGTTAATGTGCTGGGTGCTTGAGCACTTCGGGGTTAAGGGAAGCGAAGGAATTCCTCTTGCTTCTCAGTTCTTCGTTCCGCTCATTCTGCAGGTGGAGCACCTCTTGGAGGTCACGCACGCAATGAACCTGCTGCCTTGTCGAGCACTTACAGTAATACATCTGTGGGAGGTCTGTTGCGAAGCTTGAACGTAAGCACACGTAAGCCTTCTGAGGCTGGATCAGGGTGCTGCAAATACTGCAGCTCTCTGAATACTTTGGAACTCTCCTCATGACCATCTTCGGGATGGCAAAGGCTTTTTCAGACATGCACGTGATGAGGTGGAAGTCCCGTAAAGCCAGGACGCAGTGAAGTTCTTCATCCTGGTCGTCATCTTCTGCTTTGGGTGTGGTCCCTTAAAGCCTTAAGCGCTGTGCTTGCACTTTACAGCTTAAGCCTTGGCAAGGTTTAGCTGTGCCATCACCCCTATCCTCTTCACACAGAGTGGGGAGCGTGATGAGCAGGCCGCAGAGTCTTGGCATCTCACTAGTGGGCTAGTGGGACTGTGCTCGTTATGGGCTCTGAGCACAGGGCCTCACGTGGGCATTCTGGACTATCGTTGGTAACCTGGACGAGAAAGCTGTGAACAAGCTTGACACCTTGACACCAGTAACGAGGCGGGACGCACACCAGAAGCAAGAAGAAGGGAATTTCTTGGGGCTCAGCAGGAAGGGCTGCGAAGTTCGCTTTGCTTGTCAAGACTGCCGGTGCAATTTGGATTGTCCTTGATGTCCTTGTGTTGTGGGTTGTAAGGAGAGGCAGAGACCCGGCAGGATGTATGCCAAACATGCCAAACAGTATACACGACAGACCATCTCTAGCTTAGTTGTGATGTCGGTGAGACACAGTTTTGAGAGTACGTAGTCCGATTCGGAGCAACTTCGGATGACATGCTGATGTTTCGGCAGCCAAATTTTGCACGGAACGAGGGCATTCACTACAGTACGTCTCTCATCTTGCTGGCAATATCGCCAGAATTCATTTGCAACTTCATTTGCGGAAAGATGTCTGTTCCACTTACAAGTACAGTTGGGCTGGTGCTGAGCGTGATTTGGGACTTGTTGTGCTTTATTGTCAGAAGTTGCAACCAGGTTGATTGCAAATATCCTGGTCTATACCTTGGCCTTGGTTTGCAATGTGCGCTGACCTGAGTGCTTGGAGAGGATTTGAGGAGGTGAGAGTGGGATGTTGCTTGCCGACGGCCTGCTCCAGGCTCCTCGTGAACTTGCTCATAGCGGTCATGAATAGCACCTATGAGCAAAATCAGGCGAGCCGCTGCAATGCTGTAAATCTTTGGCTTTGTGCTTTCACGTGCTTTTGCTGAGGCTGTGTCACAGACATCCTGGGCGTTCTTTCGCGTAGATGCCTCTGACTGTTTTGCCGATGAAGTAGCTGCAGGTCTATTGATGCTTGTACTTGCGTTAAGTACGTGAAGTCTAGGTTGAGGCCGTGCTGGAGTTTGACCACGAGTCGATCCTGCTTCCTGCCCAGGGATGTCTTGCGAGCACTTTGAAGCATGACTCAAGTGACATTTGAGCATTTATGATTGTTGGAATGCTTCTCCGGTTTCTGAGACCACCACCTCTGAACCTCCTGGAGCCGTTCATAAATCCGCCATCGAACTCAGACAAGGATGCTCTCAAGTCACCCGCTGTCACCCGGGTTCACCCGGTACCACATGAAGCGTGAGAATCCTGCAGGACCAGGCCCCTCTTGGGCGGAGACGGTCCGAGCAGCGCATGCACGCCGAGATGTCCGTGACGCGGCGCGATCTCAAGGCGGTCAACATCCGTATCGATCCGTATCGAAGGCCGCTGATGTTCTGAGCTGGCCAGGATGCGCAGCAGCGGGCTTTCCGTGCCATCAACCTGGAGGACGCCGGCCGTGCAGACAGGCGCATGCACCCAGCATTTTCGCAGTGCCGACAGGAAGACATGGGTGAGTCGGCGTCGCTGCGTGCTGAGCTCGCAGAACTGAGGATCAGGTGCGCAGAAATCGTAGACGTAGCGAAGAGAAGTGCAGGGAGGGCAGTGGCGTTCAACAGATTCGGTTTTAAGTTTTCAGTGTCTTTCGACAGCAGCCCCTGGCAGGAACCAAGAACTGGCACAGCGGAATAGGGATCTGGAAGGGTCTTCCTGGCATGTCTTGCAAGAAGAAGACCTGAGCTCTCGCCATCGCTGCAAGGCTGGCAGCAAGCTACTTGCTTGAGCGCGTGGCGAGGGCCTCAGCTTAAAGCCTTTGGCTGCTTCAACAGATTATCCTTTCTACAATCCGCCTGCTGGAAATCAAGGCGCCGCCTGCCGAGATCCAAATTCCGGTGCCAGCATCTCCAAATGCAGGCCTGGCTGCCCTATGCGCCAGTAGGCAGCTAGGATTATCCAGTGGGTGTCTTACTAAAGTGCGTACCAGCGTCATATTAGGCAAGGGAATGCCCAAATGGACGAGACATACCTGGACCAGTGCGAACGGTTGCAGGACTGCGTCGGAATCGACGCCTAGCGAGACTTGGCAGAATCTAGTTTCCAGCAAGTCTTCTGTCCAACAACTCACAAAGAAACCATCCCGTTGCAAGTTCACTGTACTGCGCTGTGTCCTTGAGAGAGCCTTTGGCACGACATTTTGTGCCAAGGACCATGACTTCGGCGGGCATGACTGTTGCTGCAGCCTCGGGTATACGCACAATTGCCCTGACATGGAAGCCTTTGTCAGACGGTTGTTTGCTTGTAACCTGGCACGCTACTGGAATGCACTAATTAAGCGATGGGCTTAGGGTTGGGGTTTAGAGTTTAGAGTTTTGGATGCGAGGGTGAGGGTTCAAGGTCTAGGTTTGCTGGGAGGGGGAGGTTGTATGTTGCATGGCAGCGGGAGATAGAATCTCTCATTGGCTAATTTCAGCAGGGTGTGGCATGCAGGCGAATAGTCTTTTCAATCAAGCACTCCGCCAACCCAAAAGCATCTTCTCCTGAAGAAACATGCGGACAACTGTTGGGGCCGTTCTTCCACGCGGGGTGGGGTCGCAGCAGCAGACTTCGGATTGAGGGCGTTGACTTCGAAGCAGGCGCTTGTACTGCAGACGGCGCGAAGAAGAAGAGACCCCTTAGCTGGGCAAGGGTGACTGGATTTCAGCGTTCCTGCGTGGCAGTTCAAGAGGAGCCAGTGCCATCCACCGTAGTAAGGCTAGCCGCGGCTATGTGAAGACGTGACGAGAGATAGTACAAGTAGAGCCAGAACACTTGACGGGTTGCAGTCATCTCGAGAAGTAAGGCAGACGTCAGCGGTGAGAGCCCGACACATCGAAGGAATTCTTTGGCACCAGGAATGGCTCGCACGCTTTCAGGCGCTTCGCATTCGCAAGCGTTGGCAGTAGCCCGTGCGATGTCTTCCACTGCCCCAGGCCGCGACAAGCAGCCATGTAAATAGACGCGCAGTCAGGAATCCCCGCACTTTGAAGTTGCAGGGATGTGGCTGCCGGGCTAGTTGTAAATATTTCTGAGGCAGAGATCTCTGCAACAGAAAAGGCACGGTGTGGTGCATTCAGCAGCAGGCCGAAGAGTGTCCGAATCTCTTGGTGCCTTTCTTGAAGAGTAGCTTTGCATGCCAAAGGCATTTGCTCACAGCATTGGGCAAATATAGCATGATGTGCAGGAGCCTGATTTCCACTCAAGATGGCGCAGCCTTCTGTCTGAAGACAACAAAATAGCTTGTGCTGCTGAAGTTGAAGATCCTGTAACTTGCTGGATAAGGGGTCATGTCGGCTTCGTTCCCATGCGATGGGCTTCGAAGTTGCTGGCGGTGGCAACTGCCACAGCTTTCTGCCTGCATGACGAAGGCAAAGCATGCAAAGTCTCTTCCGTATTGAGCCCTTTCATTTTGCACGAAAGAGTTTTGATCTTTTTCGTCGATACTCTGCTCAACGCGGTCAGGCTTGCTGCTTCTTACCTGGCCCAGCGGCTTTCGCACGGTTCAGATTTCAAAGCTTGCCGAAGATGCAAGGCGGCGTGACCGACGACCGACAGTAGGCCCAGGCGTTCTTCAGCGCTTTCCCGCAGCCTCGGATAGGTCCGAACTTGATGCACGCTTGGCGCGGAAACAAAGAAAGCTGGAGATGCAGTTCTCTTTCACCACCTTGCGGGGCGGTCGAGGGCGGCTGAGGACCTCTGCAGAATTTATAGTTAAGGAGCTTCTATTCAGAAACCATCCTTGTCTTAGGAGGCTTCCGGGTCCAGAGGCCTATCCGGCATGCGATCGGCTAATGCAAGCCAGTCAAGCAAGCTTCGGCCTGTCGAGGGATCCTGTGTGCCTGGCTTACTTACAAGTTTTTGACACGTTTGGTTGCGGGTACTGAGACTCTGAGACTCCAGGTTTGCGACCGGAAGCTGGTTCAGGTGATGGTTAGGCAGTACTGGCCTGGCCAGGAGAGAAACTTCAGAAACTTCCAAAGCTTTGTGACTTCTTGTGCTCACCTAATCATCCTAATCTGTGCTTTGAAGAGAGGGCTTGAAGCTGCACGTCGATAGCAAGTTGATGTTCGAGGACCATTCTGGGACGTTTCTGCCAGCACAGGGCTGTCGTGGTCCCCGCTTTGGGAGGAGCCCGTGCTAGCAGTGGTCCTTCATGCTGGAGGCTGGGCTAATTTGGACAAGCCCTTTTCAAACACAGTGGCCTCAGACTTTCAATTCTTGGCTTGGTCCACTCCGCTCCAGAAGCAGGGCATACTGTAAAGGTCCACTGGATGGCTTGGTGCTGCAGCACATGGAGAAGCCTGAACTCAAGGTGCTTGGATGAGGGGCTAGCATAGAAGACATTTGCCATAAAGCCGTGTAGAACGCCAGGTGCCCGTGTCGGAGAGTCTAGGCCTGGCTATGTGCTTCCAGGGACCCGCTCGCTACCAATGGGGCCACCAGGCCTGACCCAGGCGACTCGCAGAACTCTTCATGTTGCTTCAATCTTGCTTCCAGCGGCAGGTTCCGCCAGTCTCGGAGAGACGTGTCTCAATTACTTGGCGTTGGTGCAGAGCTCGGTGTTCCCCTTCCACCAGCTCCCCCATTGACACATGGAGTTCAGAAAAGTAGAATCAATTGAGTGTGGAGAGCGAAGTTAAGTCAATGAGAGTCTTGTTTTCACGTAGCCCAAGCACAAGCAAGCGCAGATCCCAGTGGACATTTTCGGTAATTGCTTGGTTTCGGATGGATGGATCTGCAATGCAGGTTCAAGCAGAGCTACCTTGACAGCTTCGATCGCAGTTGAGATCTGACCATCAACTAAGCTGAGCTAGGGCGACCTGCCGAGGAAGAGCGCAAAAAAGCATAGCAACTGGCCGTTGACTTCACATCTTCTTGGAAGCAGTTGCTGCTGACAGCATCTCAGCATCTCCACATGCGGGGAGCCTACTGGACAGTGCCTGGTTGCTCAGAAGTAGGCTCAAGACAGGTACGCTAATGTTGGTGGTAACTTTGCCTTCCTTCGCGTGCCTGTTCCATGACGTCAGCCTGTCAATCTCGGAGGATGTGGTTGCTAGCTGTGCTGATCAGTGAGGTCAGCCTGGTGGAGTCTGCCGGTGTCAAGGTAATGATGCTTCACAACTCCGCACAAAGCAATGCGGGATGGAAGGAAGGTTTCTACGACTTTTTTGTCCCATATGTGAACGCCCAGGGCTTCACCATAGCTGGTGGAACTGAAAAGCACACCCTGGATGTGTCGCTATGCGAAGAGGACCTTTCTGTAGATGCCGTGACGAAGGTCAACGCTTGCGTAAACCGTGCCGAGACCGAGGGTGTGGATGCAATCGTGGTGGGGACCTCCAGTTCCAACGACGACATCAAGACGGCTGCAGAAGCCTACAAGATACCCAACTTGCACTGCTCAGGCCGGCTGGCCTGTGTACGCATCGTATTTAGACCTGCAACATGTCAATCCCCGAGGTGGGAACCCCATGTCCTGGACGGCAGCCACACCGAATGCGTTCGGTGGGGAGCTCATGTCACTCTTGCGTTGGGTGTAGAGAGCTTGTGCAAGGGCCGGCTGCGGTTGTACATTCGACCCCGCACCGCCTGCGTGAATTTGGACAGCTGTATCCATGCACAGCCTGAGGTCTTCACCTGCCATTCCCGTGGTACTCCAGGGGCCCCATACGACAGGCGCCTCAGTTTTTTCTTGTCAAAGTTCAGCGGGGCGAGCTTGAGTTCTGAGCGAGCTTGAGATCTGAATTAGTAAGCCAGGCTGCTTTGCTGGAGCTCAAGACGATTGTGGTCATCCGCGACTACGACTGGGGTTTCCCTCGCATTTCAGCGGTAGCTGCGATGGAGTGGGCGCTCGAGAGTTCGATGCAGGTGATTGGGCCCACGCTGGCCTGGTGTCAGCGTTGGGCCGACAAGACCAACACTTGTGCTATACAGAATGGCAACTGCCGGTGCGGAACACAGTCCGAGTATGACAACCTGGGTTACAAGTACAACGTTGCGGACATGCCAAGCTTTTATGAAGCCTCGGAAAGCTTGGTAGTCGAGTCTGGATTTGATGTGCGTGGGTCTGGGATTTCTCCAGCGTTGGTCGAATTTGTGGAAGGGATCATTGAGGACTGCAATTTTCGCCCCATGCAATCATGCAAGGCGCAACGCGTTGGACTGTGTTCGGATAAAGCTCGCTTCAGGATGTTCGCTCTCAAGGAGGAGATCCGGATATGGTGGCTCCAGCATTAGATTAGCATCAAAGCGCGTCTTTGCAGTAGGGTCCCATGCCATCATATGAAAATCCTGAGCAGTCTTTGCTGGACAGGTCGTTAATTGGCTGGCTGCAGCGCGAAGCGGGCTGATGGCCATGATGAATCAGAGGTTCGGCTACCGCATGTACTTTGGCGGTCCCAATTATCCGGGTACTGCCTGGAACGGTTACGAGCTACTTGTCTTCTTTATGTTATGAGTAGCATTTGCAGGATTTTCAATGGTCAAGATTTTTTTTCTTGATTTCGTTCCGAGGTCCTACTGGAGCAATGGTTCCGTAGCTCTCGGATATGAGCAGGCTCTGTACAACATTGGGGGAGGTCAGTGGCACCATGAAATGGGCTTTTCCGATCCCATATTTGGCACCAGCCAGCAAATGAAAGCTGTCTTCATGCAACAGTTCGGCAAAACTCCGGGTTACGTTCCTCGATCCTGAATTAGAGCACCGATGGGTAGTTGTCTGCCGCCTGAAGAGGACTTGTGGGGATTTGTGGTTTCCTCGGCTAGGACACACAGACATTTAGAGATGGCTCAGCGGCAACAGGCTCCAAGCTCGTGGGTTGAATCCTCAGACAGCGTCATCCCAACTGAGGACGCAGCGGCTTGTATGGCGGCGGGCATCTCCATCACCTTCGGATTGCAGAAGTATGGCCAAGCCTTGGATGGAATGACTCTGGCCCAGCGACGTGAGGAGATTCGCATGTCCGTTGGCACTTTGAACGATGAGACTCTCTACGGACAGATCCGGTTCAACCGCTTCAACCAGAACAACGGCCGCATGAGTGTAAACTGGCAAATTCTTGAGGATGGTGGAACCAGGCTGGGAAGACACGAAAAAAATATATTGGCGTCGCCATTGCAGCGCTGTTTGAAAATGTTTGAAACACTTCTTACGTAGGACGAAATTTTCGGGAATTCGCGCCAGGAGGAGGTTTAAAGGTAAGCGTTAGCGCGCGTCTGCGCGGCAGCCGAGCTGGCAAGGAGAGCGACTCGCAAAGCAAGGAAGTCTTACAAAATAAAGAAGAGTCGGCAAGGCTTGCGGGGGTTGGGGAAAAGCGCAAAACATGGCCTAGGCCTCCGGCCAGAATCCTGCATGCAGCTCCTTGAAAAGGAGTATCATTGAGGGGCAGGATTTTTGGCCGGGTGCTCTTTTTTTTCTGCAAAGGTGTGGCTCGGTCCTGGTGTGGCTCTGGTGCCTTGGTCCTGTGGTCTTCTGGTCTCGTGGCCCTCTGGTCGGGGGGTCCCCCGCTCACACGATCCCTTTGAAATGCTGTAATTTGCAGCATGTGAGGCTTTCCAAGATCAGCAGCTGCTGCTGCTGTAACTTACAGCATTTGAAACGTTCAAAGACCAGCAGAAACTGTGATTCACGGCATTCGAGACGTTCCAAGGCCAGCAAATGGTGTGATTTGCAGATATTTGCAGCATTTGAAGCGTTCCAAGACCAGCAAATGATGTAATTCCTCGTGGGTCCTCTGGTCGGTCCCCTGGTCCCTTGGTCCGGTGGTCTCTGGTGTTTTGGTCCTAAATTTTGGCATCACTTAGAAGCCTCAGAATGTCGTAGTGCTCAAGGTGACTGGTTTCTAAGATGCTGCGAGATTTCCTCCAGCTCCAATAGTGCTGGCAACATTTGTGAGTCGGATTGGGGTAGCAGCCTATTCTGCTGCCAAAGATCGACGGCAGGATTCTGCCTGTCAAGCGATTGGGAGGAATCGGCCTATAGTCCTTATGTTTTGATCCCTAATTATCGTCCCTAAACCCATTCTTTCATTTCTTACTAACCCAGGCTGTAACCCTACACCCCAGACCGGCCATGGTTGCTTTTTAAATTCAGTCCTCTTCGATTTTGAAAAGTGTCAACAGTCACAGGGATCGTGGGGTCGGGGTCGCGATCCTCATAACCGTTGTCGCTCTTAGACCCTCGGAGCTTTTTGGGCTATCCATGCTTGCAAGAAATAAGAAGCATCATGGCGTCACCATGTTTGCTGTTAGGGCGGGTTGTGCGGATCATTTTGTTTGCAAATGAAGGGGGCTCTCAGCCCCCCTGCTGTTTTAAAACCATGCATGCTTCCAGAAAAACGGAACATCATGTCAGTACCATGTTTGCAGCAAGTGAGGGCTATGCGGATCGTTTTGTCTGCAAACCCCGCTGTTTTCATGATTTTGATGCCATCCATGCTTCCAGCAAAAAAGCAGCATCATATCATCACCATGTTTGCAGTAAGTGAGATTTGTGCGGATCATTTTGTTTTCAGGTGGGGCAGGGCTGCGCACCCTCCCCCCAAACCTCCGCTGTGTTAAGGCCACCCATGTATGCAATGAGAAAAATCATGGTGTCATCACCATGTTGGCAGTAAGGAAGGTTGTGCGGATTGTTTTGTTTGCATTTGGGGGGCGCAGCCCCCTCAGCCCATCCGCTTTTTTGAAGACATCCATGCTTACAATGAAAAAGAAGCATCATGTCATCACCAGGTTTGCAGTAAGAGAGGTTTGTACGGATCATTTTGTTTGGGTGAGGCTGCGCCTCCCCCAACGCTGCCGCTTTTTTAAAAGCGGCTTACAATAAAAACGAAGCATCATGCAATCACCATGTTTGCAGCAGGGGAAGGTTGTGCAGATCATTTTTTTCGCCGGCTATTTCCAGAATCTGTCTTAAACCAGGTTCTGAGTGTAGGGGGAACGCATCTTGACAATAGCCTCCTGTATAATCCTAAATAATGTGGTGATTCCTTTTCGGTTCCATCTTTCCGTGTCAACCAGCACGTAAATTGGAAACACCATGATCGCACCCAAATTTTATCTGTACACCCAATTCTAAATTATTTCCCAGGGAACTAGTTGAAGGAGTTGAACGTTGCAAGACCAGCACGTGGTGCAAATTCCAGCTTGTAAAGCTTCCCAAAACCAACACATACTGTCATTTACAGCTTTTGAAGCATTCCAAGACCAGCAGATACTGTAATTTAAAACTGTTCCCAGACCAGCAATGCTGTAATTCACAGCATGTGAAGCGTTCCAAGACCAGCAGATGCTGTAATTTACAGCATTTGAAACGCTCCAAGACCAGCAAATGCAGTGATTTACAACGTTTGGACATTCCAACACCAGCAAATGGTGTAATTTACAGCATTTGATGCGTTCCAACACCAGCAAATTTTGTAATTCACCGCATTTGAAGCGTTCCAAGACCAGGAAATGGCGCAATTTACAGCATTTGAGACGTTCCAAGATCAGCGAATGCTGTAATTTACTGCATTTGAAGCGTTCAAAGACCAACAAGGAGCGAGCCACACCTTTGCAAAAAAAAGCCCGAGCCACGCCTTTGCAAAAAAAACTCCTCCGCTAAGGGGCCGGCAGGGGGTGGCGAGCAATTCAATTTAGGGGTGGGAGAGGGTAGGGAGAGGAGGAGAAGGCTGGATCCTGGTCAGCTTGTTCCAGACGCCTATCGGCCAGAGGCCGCGGCGAATTGTACAAGAGCAGTTAATTGCCGAGAACTAGTGGGCGGTTCAGGTTGGATTCGGTCAAGATGAATTTTAGCTGTGTTTTGGCAGGCTCAATTTGTTGGTTTGTGAGGCTACCATGGGGCTGTTGAACAGAAAAAACACCTTTCACATTTTTTCGTTCGGCGCCGCAATCGTTTTTGACGAGGGGAGTCGTTGCTTATTAACTACTAGCGCACGCGATGGGCTCAGTTTGCACATGTTTGCACCATGTGAGTCGCAAGAGTTGAGACCTTCTCTGCGCCAGGCCAGTGCTGCCGCCTGAGGCAGGCTCTGACATTCCAACTCTGTTTAGTATGATGCTCCCCTACAGTATTTATTTCCTATAGAACCTCCCTTTCATGCGATACTGAGCTGAGTACAATGTTCGTGCCTGTTTTTCCGCCAGGCTGCGGCCACACCCTTCCGATTTCCGAGTCCTAGCTGGGACGCTCGCTTGGGCTGCCCAAGCGGCACCTATGCTGGTGGCAGTCAGACGCTTGATGTCCCAACCCAATGTGTGCTTTGCCCAGAGGGCAGGTACCGCGATGTGGTGAGTGCAGGGTTGAATTTCTCAGAGTGCTATCAATGCCCGATGGGTCTCGGAACCCTTCCAGGCATCACTGGATCTACAGGATGTGCTAGTTGCCCAGCGGGGCGCTACCAAAATGGCGAGTCCGATCGGGGAGTCTGCAATCAATGCGCCCTTGGAACGGCAAGAGCCGGCAACAGCACGTCAGGGTGCAGCCTCTGCGAAGCAGAGACGTACGCTGATGTAAGAGGTCTTGAGACCTGCAAAGCGTGCCCCGCTCGGAGCTCGCAGTCAGATGTCGGGCAGACTTTCTGCCTTTGTGATGTGGGTGCATACAAAGACCCAGACGATGTGACCCCGATAGGAACTGTTCGAAGCTGCCTGGCATGCGAACAGATCCTTCCGGGGAGTACGACGTTGTACCCCAGCTCGAAGCGCAGTGACGAGTGTGTTTGCCCGCCAGGCACCTTCTGGCACCGCACCTCCCCCACAAGTGATGTGGCAACCTGCAAGGAGTGCGGGCTGGGACTTAACTGCCTCGGAGGACGCATGTCAAGCAGTGGGCGCCGCCTCAACGTCAGCGTTCCTCCGCATCAACCTCCTCTACAAGCCGTTGGCTACTCAGCTGGAGCCCCCGCCTACGAAGGTGCTGACCCAGCATACGTTGTTGAATGCAGCAGCAGCATCCGATGTCCGGGAGATCTGCCATTGGGCGAATGCCCTGGCAACAACCTGGGGGTTGCTTGCTTAACCTGCCTCGACAACAGCTATGATGATGGCCAGGACCTCAGCAAGGCCGCTTTGATGGAAACCTCTCGAAAAAGCAGCCTCGATGTCTCTAAGGTTCTACATGCCTCAGCTGCGAGGGTGGCAGCTTCACACTATGGCCTCTTTTCGTAGCCCTTTTTGGAGGAGTTGTGCTCGTTCTTGTCCTCTACAAGTTTGCGACGAAGGTGGACAAGCCTCACCGAGATTCTCTAATGACGGTGACCATCGGCGCTGGATTGGCCATCGCCACTGTGCAGACTCTGTCAGCCTTTTCCAAGGTCGAAGTGCAGTGGGTGGAGCCCCTTAAGACACTTCGTGGTTTCCTCTCTTTTCTGACATTTGACATCGGCATCCTTCGTCCTGGATGCTGGTTTGGTAATGTGGATCCTCTTCAAAATTACATTGGGTCCCTCATCCTGTATCCCATGGGTGCTGCAGCAGTTATGTTGGTCTTCGCGGTCGCCAAGTATGTTCTCCAAAAGGAGATCACTGTAAACCAAGTTATCAATGCGCAAGGATTGATCGTGTCCGCAGTCTACATCGCGGCTTGGCTCAGTTGGACAGTTTCTTCATTCTTCATTGCTGCAGGGACCTTTCGGAGCACTGGCCTTTGGTGCTTAGGCACTGACTTTCTTGGCAGTAAAGCCCTTCCAGTGTGTGGGAAATCCAGATGGGACCTCTTCCCTGGCATCTTTCCGCGATGTGATCTGCTGGTCGGATGAGAAACATTTTGTCCGACCCCGAGCCAAGGCCTGAGATATGCGGGATTGCTGTCACTGCAAGTACTGAGGCCATGGTTGGCCTCTCCTTGCTGCCTTTCTTCGGTGGAGTTGTCAGCTTCATGGGTCTCATCATATGGGCTGTGGCTGTCCTGCACAGAGAAAGTAATTGCAGAATAGCTGCAAAGGATGTCGGAATGGCATCAGTGTGGCATCTACTGTTTGTTTCATTCTCTGCTCTTCAGCTCTACATCCTGCAGCATCCAGATTCAGCTCCAAGTTTATCTTTGGCATGTGTGCATCAACCAAGGTCATCCAATATCCGATGAAGGTGGCAAAGCCAGGAGGGGTCAACTTTGTGAAGCGCTGGAATTTCATGTTCGCCCGCTTCAACCCAACGGCTTACTACTTTGCATTCGTGCTGAACACGCGCAACCTGTTTATCGGCCTCATCCCAGTGGCCTGACTCATTGGAGAGTAGGTTGGCCTGTGCTTTCCTTAAGACCTCTTTTTGTGAGCCTAGGTGTTATTGGTGGAGTTTTCCGAGCTTCAGTTTATCTGCCTCACGGTGACGGTTTCCGTGTATACAATCCTTCAGGCGCGGGGCTGCCCGAGGCTGCCAGGCATTGCCAGGCTATGGGTCGCATGATTCTCACGCAACAATATGCACCATAATTTTTGAGGCTCACATCTGGCCATGGCGAACTCAGATGTCCAATTACATGGACTGTTGCGGCTTGGTTGTGACAAGCTCTTGAACTCGACATGGCACTGTGGTGCAGCGTTTTGTCCCCTAGCTACAGAGATAATCAGGAACCAGCATGTCAGCACTTAGGCCTGGCCCTTTTCCTAATTACGGTGATCGTGGTGGGCAGCATGCTGTTGGACTTCGACGTCCAGAGAGGTACTGTCATCATCCAGATCATCTTGATGATCGGAACCGTGCTAGCCTTCATTGGCCTGGTCATTCTGTTTTCCGTAGCAACATACCGGGCGTACCGCCCCTCGCGCACCTATGGCATCTTCCTGAGCCATCACAAGCTGGGTGCCGCAGTGCTGTCCAGATGGTGGAAGATGATGCTCTCGGACCTCATCAAAGACAGGGTGCGGTCCCTAAAGGTCCGACAAGCCGAGCAACACGTGTTGCCGTAGATGAGGTCTTCTTGGACTCAGATGATGTGAACAAGCTGGACGCGATCATAGATGTAACCGCCTGGGATTCGCAGAACGTTGTTGTTCTCATGACTCAGGAGTCTCTCTTTTCCATAGCGAGTGAGACTTGAAGCAACAGTCACCAGCAAGTAAAAAAATGACAAGTTCAAGGAGACCCTGAAGCGGATGTGGTGTGCTGCAGAAATTGCGAGTGCGTGGGCGGCCAACACCAATATCGCCTCTCGTTCGAGAAAGTGTGTTCAAGCAAATATGTGTATGCTTCCAGTAAGCTGCAGCTGCATGCAAGAGGTGCTGGTAAGCTGTGATGGTAACGGCTTGTCGGACGAGCTCATCCAGTCTCTTCCATCTCTTTGGACAGAAGAGCAGCAGGCAGGCGGCTTTCAGGGTGGCTCAAGACTCCGGTCCTTACCATTGAAGCATTTCAACGGGCTTTGCCTCATTCAGTTGGTAAGTGTCAGTAGCACATGCGATACGGAGTCAGCAATCAACCAACGTCTCAGGGAATTCTGCGAGTTGTTGCTCCTCTCAGCTTGCATCCTACGTGGCATCCAAAATGCAGTAGCTCGTCGTCTGGTTAGCAGTGCAGGCATTTGGCTCAAGTCCGTGGCGCTAGGGAAGAGCAGAGGGATGTGCTGCTTGTGCCAGGCCACTCTTGCAAATGCCGGCGTCACGATGAAGATGATCGAGTCTTGCCTGCTGTGTAGTCAACTGTTCAAGTGTAGAGGTCGCTAGGAAGCAAGCCCATGATCTGAGGTTGACTCCTATGAAGGCCTCAAGGTGCGAACTCCTATCAAGCTGGATCGCAAGGGCGCGGACACCAGCGAGCACCAGCATGCAGTGGAACTTGCAGTGTCACAGTGCAAAGGCCAGCGCGGCCAGGGCTAGTTGCATGCAAGCAAGGGCACCCCAGCTTGGGCTCAAGTCGCTTCCAAATTTAGCAAGCACTCCTCAGCGCAATCTGGCTAGGCATGGCTAGGCAAAGCTTTCCACAATCCTCCACGGCCAGGTCTGAGCAAGAAGATGTTCAGTCGCTTCGCCAGGGCGACCCAGAGGGCGGAGGCAAAAGGGGATCAGCTCCTTAGGTTGGAGAACAACATGCCTCTTGTTTGACCATGCCAAGGAGGCCGGCGGCATGGTGATGATCGGTGACCTGATGACGCCAGAGTCGGGCAGCTGCTGTAAGGCCAGGCCCAGTTACCGTGCCAAGGGCGCTGATGATCAATTTGAGAAGTTATGGACATCTAAGGTGATCCAGTCAATGCTGCAGTCCAAACTGCAGGAATCTGTATATGTTTTGGACCCGGCGATGGAAGTGATCGACTTGGACTCGCTTGCCGACAAGTACGTGCAGGCCAAAGTGATCCTGGTGATCCTCACTCAGGGCCTCCTCCAAGATGCACTCTTTGCCGGAGCTATAGCAGCTTGCCCGGTGGAAGTTCGGGGAAATTTGGTGCCGATCAAGGCTGATGAGAACTTTATCTACCCGGACCCACTCTTCTGGGAGAAGCTTGCCGCTGGAGAGATTTTCTCAACAGCCCAGCTAGCCAAGCACAGAACCGATTTCGAAGGGGTCAGGGCAGCCTATGCCCGCCTCTTCAATGTGCTAGCACTGAAGTTCACCTCGCATGGCAGTGAAAGTATTCAGTCCACAGAAATTCAAGTCATGCAGGGCCGCTTGGCGCCCATGCTTGCGGCAGAAACTGCGGTTCTGAAGAAGGCGTCAACCTCAAAGTCCGTAGAGTCAGGGAAGCAGGAAACAGCCACAGCAGAGGAGGGCAATGAGGCAGAGAAGGGGAATCAGACCGAAGTTGTACGAGACGACAGCCAGTATCCGATGGCGCACGAGATCGAGACGGAGGCCTCTTCTGCTCTAAGTTGCATATTCGATGGTTGAATACTTAGCATTCGCTAGCCTCTCCTTACATTTTAACTACCTGTCCGCTTCCGATAGCCACGCCTTCTGCATTTTGATGCCTGGCGCAGGTTCTTTGACCTCCGACTGTTTAGTCCCGATCAGGGAATCCGTCTATATTAGCATGGTGTTGACACATGTTGACACCTTTTCGTAGATGATTTTCAAAAGCCGTGCTGAGCCTCAGACACGCATGCTTTTTTCATCTACTTGCGTGCTCCCGAACAATCAGGGGACGCAACAGACCTCGTGTTTTAAAGGGCTTCTTGCGATTTGGCTTATCCTGTAGGGATGCCTTTTGCGGGAGGTTCTTCTGAAGCCTGAGGAGGTGTAAAAAAGGGCCCCATTCAAGGCGACATCTGAACTCGCTACTTGCAAACTTTCAAGCTGATGATGCTTACACTGAGCGTGTTTCGGCTCCAATGATGTACATCTCAGCGCCCTCTAGCACCGCTTGGCATCAAAAGACGTGTCCTTCGAAAGCCTCCAAGACGTTAAGCAGTCGCATGACAGTCCATGGCAAATTAAGGATACGAAAGAGTGCTAAGTAGCCCAGACTATGCTGAAAAGAGGCTGCCCTGGTTTGTATAGGTTTCTACACGGAGGCAGTGGGCGGGCAGGCTAGGTGCGGTGCCAACGACGCCTACGAGGACGACGTCGTCGACGACCTCCGACTGCTTCCGCTGCTTGTCCTCCTGCTGCAGCTTCTGCTTCGTCGATGCTAGGACCGTCATGTTGCGGACGAGATGAGACGACGTGTCATACGGCTACTAGAACGAGACGACCCCTTAAGCTGGCGCCGACGTTGACGACTACGACGACGACGGCGACGACCAACATCAACATCATCATCATCATCATCATCATCAGCATCATCAGCAGCAGAGTCGGCAGCATCCGCAGCCGCCATAGCTGCCTCCACTCCCCCACCACCCCCAGCTGCACCAGACCCAACCCGCACCACCCCAACCTGCACCACCCCCACCGTCCCCAACCACCCCCCCCATCACCGCCACCGCCACCGCCACCGCCTCGTCCGTCGGTACCAACCTACGCCTACCTTTTGCAGTTCCAAACAGGAATTGGGCAGCCTCTACGTTCGGGGGTCGCCATGGCTCAACCAGGCAAGTGCATCAGCCCACGCTGATGAGCCATGATGGCGGCCCAAGATCCAGGCGGGTGCGTGCAGCCACTGCCAAAGCGGCTCGCAGGAGTTTTGCAACAGAGAGCAAACATTGCAGTGCGTCTTGGTTTAGATTCTGAGCGCTTTGGCATTAGAAGAGGACTGCTTGGAGGGCAGCTTCTACCACAGCTTCGACCGTTGCGAGAACCTTGGAATCTGTCAGCCTTGCAGCCTTTTCGGAGTCTTCGCTCGAGGTGCTGAGAGCTCTGGGGGCAGCCGCTGAGACGCGGGAAGCCAGGCCTCGAAAACAGCTCCACCTCGAGAAATCCAAGACATGTTTCACTTTTGCCATTGCAGGGCTGGTACGCGTGCATGCTGGTGACAGGCCGTGTCCAGCGCTGACAAATTCAACGCAGGCAAACGAGCTATGGAGAGCTGATGTCTTGAGGCCTTTATATTAGGTATGATTTAATTCTGGGCTTTAATTGATGTTGTTTAGGATTATGGGAGGGGAAATCTTGCTCAATTGGGGGAACACCATAAATTCAGCCCTCACCAATACCTTGAGAAAGCAGTGCTTGTCCATGATACATCATGATACCTGTCGGGCGTTCTCGTCAACAGTGCCTCTCTTATGCAACGAGGCGCAGAAGTCTAATCAATGCTTCCCAGGATTTGCTACGATGTCTTGATTGGCGACAGCGGCCGCGCGCTGAGAAAAATGCCAGCAAACATGTTTTCCGAACTTGGGCCATCTGGCCAGAGCTTAGGACTGGAGAAACTGATTTTGAGGAAGTGTCGCAGACACCAACAGAGGCAAATTGCCTGGGTCATTCATGGCCCCACTGAGACTGACAACGTGCACCAGCAAGTGCAGATAGAAAGGACGCGGACAATGCAGCCGTGGAGTACTTCGAGGACCATGCCACTTCCGTGCTACGGCTTGCAAAATTCACCACTTATCGGTCAGGAGATCTCACGAAATCGCCACAGAGGATGGTTAAACTTCGACATTCAGAGCGCCTGGCTCCGTTGCAGAGCACAGGTCGCGCACCGCCCTGTCCTTGCCTGGCAGGGTGACTATCTTCACTGATGAGATGCTTGGGGTCCTCAAGAGCTGGACAGATGACAGGCTCTTTTCATGCATCATGGTTTGTGAGTAAGTGCACACTTGCAGTCCGATGATCCTCCATACTGTGAGGAGAGGTTTGGCGCGCGTCTACTTCCTTGCAGATTTCGCCTTGATCCCAACTGTTCCTCAGCTCCTGGCTTCCTTAACTTGAAGTGGAATGTAGAACATGGTGACCCTGTGCCACTCACATGAATTTGAGTGGAGTCTGCCTTAGATCAATATATTGCTGCACCATGAGGGCTGTTTCCTTTCAGAATCCACTATTATTTAAAACATTATCCTATAGGGATTGTATAGGCTGCTGTTGGGCTATGTTGCGCTCAGGATCTTGCTTGCAAGTACATGGAGGAGTCTGTGGGTGAAGCCGGCTTATGTTCTTGATAGACTAAGCTTACTGGTGGTCAGCAGGGGATAAGGGAATGAATCCCCAAATTCTAATCCCGAAATACTCCCTGTGAAATAGATATTCGACATATTCCAAAAACCACCAGTAAGTGAGGGGAAGCCAGGCCAGTTGGCAAGTCCAAGTGGGGCCAGGCTTTCGATACTCCATGGAGCATTGGGCTCATCGCATCATCTCGTCAAGGACTCAGCTCATAAAACAAATAGCAGACGATCACCGATGAATGATTGATAGTATAGGTCCAATTCTGCCATCATGGTTCAGAACGTTGAGGCCCCCCAGCAAAATGCGCCCACAACCATGCTGCAGACTTTTTCACACTGCGCTACACAAGAATTCGGCGGATTTCTCGTTTTCTTCGCAGCGCTTCAGGCGGCAGATTTTGTCTTCTTGCCCCATTGTGCAACGGGCGCCCGGCGCTAAGGCAAAGGTATTGACGGGTGCTCGCCGTTTTGCCAAGTCTGAGGTCTTTATGCACATGGTAGTGCAAGATGACCGGAAACGCGAGAGGGGCAAGGCCGGTTACTCCACGTAAACCGGATGAACAATTGCATGTCTCTTACAGTTCCGTAAGTCCTGTCAGGGAAACTCTTCGAGGCCCAGCGATGCGTCCTAGCGCGTTTCAGGTATGACCCCTTCAAGCCCGCAAGCTTGAATGTCTGCAAATTCGATCGCAACTTGCTATGGACGTTTATGGGAGACTTTGGGGTCAAACCCTGGGAGTGTCTAGATGCGAATGTGTGAGCCATGATGACCCGATGTCACAGATGCAAGGTAGCGGTGTTTGGACTGTTTGCAGCTACCGTTTCCTGGCCACTCCATACTGTCATCCTTCGCAACTCATGCATGTGGACGCTGCTCAATCGCCCAACCTCCAGAAAAGTTGCACGTGCTTGTAGGGCAGTGTGAGTGTGAAAGGCGACTGGCCGAAACCTATCTTGGCCTTTGCCGCAGCTGTGCGCATGGGGAATGCAGCTTAGCCGCTTTATGTTGAGGTATTCCTGTTTCTTGAGGTTATGAGGGCAACCTCCCAGCCTCAACTGTTGTCAGCCGCGTCCTGATGCCTGGAATCTAGAACGCAGTGAGGATGACTTGTCACCATGAGCTGAGGGCTGGACAGATCGTACCTCATGCACAAGGTGAAGTGTGAAGAGTTTCGAAGCTTTGTCAGTGTGGGCTTGTTCAGCATGACCGATGCGGAGGTGGAGACCATTTGGCAGAAAATCCCAGAATATTGGCACTGCTGGCTGCGCTCTCAGCCAACGTGTTGCATGTTGAGATGCACGATTGCAAGATGCTTGCTGTTGCCCTCATTGCTTGCATTCCGAGAGCCGCACGCTTTTCTAGCAGCTGTATGTTAATTCTTTTTCAACATAGTCGGTGAAAACTCCAGAGGTAGAGCAATGCTATCGTCGATTCAAACTCCCAGCTAAACAATACTTGAGCCCCGCTACACTGCAATCGGGTAGGAGCTTTGCAGTGTATGCAGCACAGCTGTCAGCTGCATTCAAGAGAAAGACTCTAGCCACACCAAGCTCTAGATAGTGTGCAGCTTGTAGGCAGAGGGACAGCTGCAAGTTCCTCATCGCCAGCATCTACGCGCGTCATGCCGCCACTTCAGAGCATCGAGCCAGGGTTCCAGGGGTTGAGGGCCTCAACATTGAGGTGTGGCGAAATTTCGCTGCACACTTCGGGGACAAAGCCGTGTTCATCACCCACGGCGGGACTGCGATCCGTGAAGTGGTGGTCTAGCAGAAGGCCTAGGGACTAGTGGACCGGCTTCTCTTGAGTCCGGAAGGATGTCTCCCTGGCTGCGGGAGCGACCCGACAGCTTCTTCATCAAACTTCCAGGCTTGGAACTTGGACTGGGTGGGAAATGGGTGTGGGAGGTGGTCGTGCTCAAGCCATATCAAGCAATGCAGGGGATGCCACCCCGTCGGTTCCAGCAGATGGAAATACATGTCGTCTTGTTCTCAGCGTCCCTATGCTAACGCCCTGTGATGCAAGAGCAAGCCTTGAGGAGCTTCCTGTGCTCTACACTGCCAGATGGAGCCTCCTGCCATTTTGCCACAGGAATGCTGACATGACGCTTTAGACACCTACCAAACCACGCTGGGAGCCAGTCAAGTTTGCAGGACATTGTCCTTCCCTGGGTCGTTGCGTTTGAGTGGACCCGGCGTGCTAGAAGCCCAGGGCAGTGCATTGAAGTCTCAGACTGCGCTTAGCCTGGCGGCATGGTTGCAACAATGATAATGCCTGACCCTCAAGGCTTCCCAGGTCAGGAATCAAGAAAAAATGGACCTGGATCTGAGGTACAGCATCGTGGGGTATATGGGTGATGTGTTGAATGGTCCATGTGAGCAGATGTGTCTGTTTGATGTCATCCTTGAAGTTTTTGACTAAAACCTGTTTGTTCTAGGCAGAGGCCTATCGAAACCGCGACATTCTGGCTTTCTACAGCGGTGCCCCTTTGCGGGAAGCAGACAGAGTTGTGGCCTGTGGAGCTGCATGTTTTTCCTTTTTAGCAGGTACAAGGAACTCTTGTTCGCGGACAATCCTTCACGAGGCCCCGGTTTTCTTACACTTTAAGGCTAAAACAGAAGCCGCCTTGATGCATGGCTGTCCAGCCTAGCGTCTTACCTGCTTGATTCTCAGTGAGAGAATCTCCCTAGTTCCGCTGGTCCCGCAGGCCTTCGACGGCCGGTTTGAGTCAGAGATGGACTTTGGAGAGGATGCCATGCGCTGGGCGAACTGCCTTGTGTAACTGACCTATTCTGCTTGGCAGGATGCACGGCGCGAGCGCAGCGCCAAACCCCGCCTCCTCAAGGAGCCTTGGCATTCTTGACAATTTGAGCTTTTTGATGCTGCTGTGGTTGATGCGAGTTGGCTTGGCAGGACCGAGTCCTGATTTTCCCCCCGGAGTTCAGACTCCGCCAGCAGGACAGCAAAGGCTGTAGTCTCCTGTGTCCCTTTGGATTTCAAACAGGATTGGTCGGAGCTTGCCTTCAGATCCAAGTCGTTGCCTCCAGCTTCCTCTGACTTGATATGTCCCGAGAAAGCTGTGAACAGAGGTTATGCCTATGCCCCGATGGTGACTCGCCTAATACGGGCCGTCTCATTGAGGCAAGGTCAGGGTTTCAAAGAGATCCTGAAGACTGTGCGAGCCATGATCGGACATGAGATTGTGCAGAGGTCATCATGCACGGCTGTGTGCCGCTGATTATTTCCAATCGCTTACAACCTCCGTTCCACCAGGCCATCGAGAATGAAGTTGCTAGAAAGGATACTGGGTTTTTGCATGTTACAAAATCATCAACCTTGGGGAGCACAAATGCAGAATAATGGTTTCAGAACGTTGCAGATACCATGCTGAGACCCACCCTGGCAGTTGTTCGACTGGTCAAAGATTGCCTTCTTCATGCGCGAAGACGCTCTTCCGCATTTGCACCAGCCTCAGCACGAGCAGCCTGTTTGCAAAAGTAGCCAGTTGCGGTCGGTCAGCTGGCAGGCCGAGAATCCTGGAGCATTTTCAAGGCTGCAGCCCGTAATGGTGGAGGCAATCATGAAGCACACTGCGTGACCTTCCATTTCGCAGGCCCAGAGGGTGATCGCCAAATCCGGCAGAAGCGCCAAAGGTTAGGAGAGGCAGCCGCCCGGTCTCTGGCTGGAACTTGCTTGACCCGCCTTCTGCAACAGATGTCCCATCTTCTGGATTACAACAGAGATGGAGTTGCTTCAACTCTGTTTTTGGCGCTGCGGGTGCCCCGCGTTTTTTCGTGTCTGTGGAGAGAATGACGTTTGACTTCATGCTTATGCTTGCAGGAGCGTGCTTTTGACCTGAGACGCGCATCTTCATGACTCGCAATGCCCTCACGCGTTAGCTCATGAGGCTAGCTGCTAGTATTCGTTGAGCTGCAGGATTTTCGCGGTTCCTGTGAGCTTCATAAAGCACTGATGGTGGATTCTGGCCTCCACGCTTGTGTTTGGGAATGCAAGTACTCCTGTACGAGCTTCGCAGAGCCCAGGATGCCCGCAAGTCCCACAAGTACGTGCCGCGCAATGGCTCCTTGCAGCGACAGCTTTAACACGAGACATTCCATGAAGTGAGACTTAAAACCAAGTTTAAGCAGACTATGACCGTCATTGCAGCACTCAGCGTCGGAAGTATTCAGACGTCTCAGCAACATCAGTAGGGCATGGGATGGCATGCTGACACATGCGGACCAGCCCTTGGCTCAGCGAGTTGAGGGGGTGCTATTTTTCGCACCTCGCTGTGGACTTCAGTTCGAGTCATTTGAAGTTCCCGCGCGCAAGAGAATTTGGGAGGGCTGGCTCGCGAAAGGCAAGCGCGGCGGCGCAGGTCACGGGGACAGGGGCTACGCGCCGGCACAGGCCGCCAAAGCTCTCCTCGTTTTCTCCAGCAGCCAGCAATTCCCTGTTGAATCCGTGCAAGACGTCGCTGCATGCCAAAGATTTCTTCCTATAGCGAGTGTGAGCTGTAGAGGCGCGGGCTTCTGGTTTGCCACCGCTCCCAACGAAAAAGACACCACCTCCACCAGGATGGTCTGTCTGCGTGGCCCACAGCAGTGACTGATGGCTTGGCTTCTTGCTTGCAGGGGTGCCTTCACCATGTCGCTTGAGCCCAAGTCCATATCAAAGCATGACCAGGCGGCTTTTGCCAAAGTAAGATGAACCCCTCGTCTGTGCTGGGGATATCTCCGGAGGCATTCCAGCTCCACCTCTGCCTTGCCGTGCATGCGCAAAGGTCTTCCTGCTCTGTTTCGTGGGACAATTCTGAGAGTATGTGTTGAACACGAAGCTGTCAGGCAAACTGGTGCCACTGCATCCAGTGAAGCGAGGCTGGCATCAACGTTTTTTTAGCTGGGCTAACAGACGTTCTGAGCTTGTATGTCCAAATGCCTACGCATTCTACACATCCACAGCAGTACCGGAATCCTGAAGCAACGTTCTGCGGTGCAGTGCTTATGACTTTGGCTGAGCCAGTCCGCTGCCTGTTAGGCGACGCAATTGCCGCGCGAACAGAGGACAGCTGATATGCAGCCGGAGGCAGAGACGTCTCTCGCAGACAGCACGCAGGACATGGCATCAACCGAGCCGCCGGATGCTTAAGAGCCTACAGTGCAATCCGGACAGGAAAAACAAAGGCAGACGCAGCAGCGAGCAATCTATAGCAGAATGCGGCTGTGACCGAACTTGGGTTTCAAAGCGCGGAATGGCAGGTTAGTAAAGCTCATAAACACTCCTCGCGCACCAGGATAAAGAGGAAGTAGGGGCCTGGAAAGCCGATGGGGCCACCATAGGAGAAATGCGCATGGCTGAGACTGCATAGCAAGTAACCCCGATGGGGATTGGATGGCCCCAGTCTGATGTGGCAAGCCTGAGCACCTGGATCAAATCCGGAAAATGCTCTCCAGCTGTGTGGACATTCTGGGGGAAAAGGTAGGTGGCGCGGTAACAGTGACGACGCGCTCGGCGTACATGTTGCATACATGTAGAAATTCGCAATGCTTTTATGCTTGCACACGCTCGCCTGCACCGTAAATGCATGTTTGAAGCGGTGCCGAGGAGCCGAGCAATGGGCCAAGCCTCCTCTGCCGTACTGGACCTGGCTCGCATGGCCGAGGAGGCTCATGACAGGGCCCAATCCTGTCAGTCAAGCACACCACAGTGTTCCCTCATCGCTGGCGGTGACCACATGGACAGTTTCATGGCTTCTGGGATCCTCTCCATCACACTATCCGGGAAGAAAATGTTACGCATGCTACGCAGGCTTCAGGACGGAAGATGGCAGATCATTGTACGCATGCCTTCAAGAAGGTGCTCACATTCGGGTGTTGAATATTTAAAGAATGAAATTGCGGAAGAGGTCGAGCAGAATACAAGTATACAGCTTACGTATGTCTATCTCTGTCTCTCTTCTCGTGCTTGCAACTACAGGCCCCGCTAGACACGCCTGCGCCTGCAGCATATGGGGATGTTTCCTGCGATTTTCAAGGGACATCATTATCGTCATACATGTGCTTGTTCGAAGACCGTTTCGACCCTTCAAACAACTGTGCTATCAGCTGCAATTTGGGGACATGCTCAATCCTCGCAAGAAGCGCTGCTACTCGAGAACTTCAAGTTGCACTCTTCCATCTGTGAGCGTGATCCTGGTGACTGTTGTCATTTTTTGACTGTGTAAGGCCCAGAGGTTTGCGCACTTCGAGGTCTCATCGTCATGTCATCGAGGGCTGTTGTGCTGGTGAGGGGGTGCGCTTGTGCTGTTGGAATCCACTCCCACGGTCTAGGCTGTATGTCAGCAGGTTGTAGAATTCATCATGGGATGCTTTGCAGATGTTCATCTTCAACTTCCGTTGTATTTATGTGCTTCCGTTGCTGTTCCTCCAAGAATCTTCCAGCGGCTAGACGCCTAGGAGTGTTGAGAGCATAGGACAACAATAGACAACATGAGGGTTCCTCAAAATTCTGGGGTATTCAAAGGGAACCAAATTTCAGGAGCAATTACCATCTCTTTGCAGGTCCTCCGCGTGGGCGCCTGGTCTGTGAGGAAGCTTCCAGAAAATCCAGACATCCCTTTGGCCTGTTGCCAAGCTGCCTTTGGCATGATAAAAGTGTCAGACAGTTGCTGAAGATTGTAATCGCTGCTACCTTGGCCAGGTGTACCTCAACGAAGAGGAGGGACTCGTCGAGGCATGTTGCAGCTATGTCTGGCCCTGGATGGATTCTTCTACACAAAACGAGTCCTGCAGGTGCAGCCGCCGCAGGAGGTCCTGGACGAGCTTCAAATCAACGAGTCAGGCCTTTCACGGCCTTACCGCTTTGAATAACCACAAATTCAGAACCGTTGGCATACATAGCCTTACCTTCTGTGCGGTGCTGACGAGAAGACCGCCTTGTCTAGAGTTCAGAGGAACCCGCATGAAGGTTCGCCGATCCTGCAAGAGCCTCTCGAACGCGAGGAGCCCTCAGAACAGGAGGACGCGTGCAGCGGCCAGAGTGTTGGTTTCGGCTAGATGGCTGTTGGGCTGGTAGGTGCAAGCAAGCTTACAGACAGTACCCAGTCAATCAGCCGGCCAAGAGGACAGCGGTACTGGAGCATAAAGAGGCTTCATTGTGGCCAACAGCATACGGCGCGCGCCAACCAACGTAACAGCTAGTGAGGCTTTCTAAGTGAGCTTCTGAACTTAGAGTACTCCTGAATGCCGCATCTCTAGCGCCAGACCTTGAACCTACAAGGATTGATCAACTGGGGAATCGACTGGCCGCTGAACATGCAGACTCCCTCTCAAGGGCCCTGAAATGCCGGGCCTCTACTGTACATACTGTACGTTTTTTGTGGTGCTCAACATGGACCCGAATGGTGTCTACGTTATTGTAGGGTTTATACCATGTACTTCAGCTTGTCAAACTAGGGACCCAGGCCAGGAGCGCATGGTTCCAGTCTTTGAATGAAACTGAGAGAAACAGCAGGAGGTGGACGGCAGCCCAGTGTTTCGGCGGATCATCCTTGGGGCCAAGGCAGAGGCAAGGGGTGAGTAGAGCTGGGGGAATTGAGGGACTGTGATCACCAGATACATTTTTCATCATGACGCTGAAGCCAGGTGCCTCTGCGCATGGCTCGGGACATTCTGGATGCGGTCAGAGAAGACGTTGGGCTGTTCCAACAGGTGCTGCGTAACCCTGCTCAAAAGAGGATAAAAACCGAGAGAAGTGTATATGTACACATGTGTATTCTGTTGTTATATTTTCTTCGTAGGTGCAGGAGCGCTTCTCCGACTCGCTGGCGGCTCTGGGATACTCAAAAGATTGAGCTTTATTGAAACGGCGCCGCAACATTCGCCTCCTTGTTCCAAGGCCTGAGGAGAGCTTTCTGCGGCTTGATGACGGGCTCGAAGAGGACAAGATCCAGCCACCTCATGATACCCGACGTTTCATACACGTATGCAGACTTATGCATGTGCTTGCAGATTTGGCAGGAGCTTGTCACAGTGGCGCTGTCCATGCAGCCTGGGGAGGTGTCGGAGGTTCTGGGCACGGAGGCCTCAGAAGTGCTGCTGAGTTGAGCATGCAGCAATGCAAACACTTCTCTGCAAATCTGTGCTCCTGCACTTCAGCTTCTCAGGCTGGAATGCAGATCCTGCTGCGCGTACGCTGAGCTTCAATCAATCCTGCTGTGGGAACACAGACTGATGCTGCCAAGCACTGCGAATCATGAAGGATCCTGTAGTGCATTAGCGGACGAGTTGTGAATTCAAGGAGTGCATGCGCCAAAGGGCAGATTCTCCGAGTGTATCAATCAAGGGCATGTGGTTATGCAGTGCATTCTCATTCTCTGAATTCTCGCCATGACCCGCAGCCCTCGACACTTCTAGGGTTCCGGTAGCGAGACTTTCCCGGGTCAGGCCCTGACCAACGTTCCGCCCTGAGGTAAAGTGGTGAGCTGCAGTGCCCTAGAGTGGTGGTCTTAGGTTCCATATGGATGTGAGCAGCAGATTCCCGAGAAGGACTCCTTCAGCCTTCAGTTTGGCGTTTTTGATCTCATGCGAAAAAAACATTAGTTCTGAACGCAGGACACTCATCTTCACGGGCCTGGCCACCAGTGTTTCTTGGCATTTGCATTTGCGTTTAGACTACCATACTTGGACCTTTTTTTGAATACGGCAAAGCTTTCTGGTGCAAAGCGATCAGGTTACCTTGCAGGGATGCTCATCCATCATCCCGACGTTGATGCCCTAATTGTGGTCTTAAACTCTTCCTCCACATCAGTGCTTTGTACAGTGCAGGCATGAGACGGGCTACTGGCAGAACATGACCAGCTACTTGAAGACCTACAAGGTTTCGTGCTTCTCATGCAGAAAGAAGACCGCTTGGCGAAAGCTCCCGCCGCCGGCAGTTTGAAACGCCCGGACTCGAAACGACAAAGTTGAATCCATGTGCTCTTGCTCGTATCTCAGGCTGACAGACCAGTTGCCACCCCTCAATGGCTTTGCTTTGAGGACATCCCTAGATACCTCCAGTGCAGTGGCCACGGAGAATGTGGCTGGCTCAGTGGTCCCCGTGGTCCCCAGTGGTCCCCTCCCCTCCTGGCAGCCAATGCTCTGACATTGAGGCAAAGCATGGACCCAAGATCCAACTCGAGACGACCTTCCCAAGGCCTTGGCAACATCATGCAACAAAGCCGACGCAAACATGAAACCTTCTGAAAAATGGCGCTGGAAGCATTAGGCAGCTGCTGATGCTCCGAGATTCTGTTACTGCACAGAGGCTTGGCTGGTCGCTTACAGTCTCAGCCAAACTTGCTTGACGCTGGTGAAGGGCTTGCAACACCTGGAGGGGCGCACTCTTTCACAAGAATGTCAGCCTGAGAATTCCGACCTGTAAAGTAATTAAGCTCCTCCAGTACTAACGGCTAATAGCTGCTGGACAAAATTGCTGATTTCTACATGGCGCTGGCCACTGTGGGTGTTGATTATTCTGTTCTTTGCAAATGCTTTTGCAGTTTCCGGGGCGGATTTATTCATATATCTAGTACCGGCGAACTACCTAGCTGTGCGATAACAACCGGAGAACAGATGCAGGGCTGGGCTGATCCGAACTGCGAGACACCCAGAAAGTCACAGAGAGTGGCGCCCTACTGGCTTGTTGAAGTCCTTGGCATGCTGGGGCCAGAAAGCAGTCTCCTTCTGCCAGGTTTCTGTTTTCCCTCTTCGGGGGCATCCTAGGCTTGTAGAGTGCAAGTTGTGAGCCGGACACACGAAGTGACTTTGGAGACTGTGGGAGGACTGGACCAACTTTACCTGGGTTTCTTCTTTCCGTACGGTCTGCTAAAGGCCGTGAAGCAGTGTCTGGAGCATTGTGACAAGTCTTGGCCGGGTAGAACTGTTCTCGCCAGCTCCTGACGTTGGGCGGCGTGGGCATTTGGTGGATATACGATGTGGCCAGTCCCTCAACAACCCGCCCTTTCCTTCGTCACGTGGTGCGCTGCAGTTCAATTCGGGGAGGTACGGATTGGCATGAGTCCAGTTGAGACAGCAATCAGCTTCAAGGCCCTGGGACCATTGCCTTGGCTGCAGCCCACCTAGGCATTTCATGTCTGTAAAGGTGGCCCAAAACGTGCCGCACTGGGCATTTGCACGCCCCACCGAAGTTTGCCAGTTTGGTTTGATCATGTTGTGTCACAAAGGGACTGGCGGCAGGTATTGTCAGCAACTATCTTTTTCGTGGCTTTGGCCTTCGTCTACAGTGTCTTGATCCCAGCTCTCACACGATTTTGTTGACCTGAAATGTGCGACTTTCGTTTGATTGCGCAGGCATGGTCGATTCAGCGGCATCGCGTGCAAAAGCACAGAGAGGCAGGTCCAGCGGAATATTCCAGAATTGTGGTAAACACGCAAATGCCGGGACGAGAATGCAGCTTGTCTGGCACTCTGCTCTCAATGAAGCTCGAGTTATACAGAAGCTGGAGATATGCAGTATGAGATAGGCATGCCCATGCCGCCAACGTTGTAGGTCATGATGCTTCAAGCAGAGAGCGCGGCGATCGAGTCGTGCCTGGCCTGCGCACTATGCTTCTTGCAAAACAAGTAGCCTACGTCATCTACGCTGAGAGCATTGTTTGGAAGTCCAATCTCCCGAGGCGACGACAATATTCAGGCACAGACCTTGCAGAGACGAATGATCTTACAAGACTCGCCGCGCCTTGTGACACCGGAGGCTATGGTTCGACGCTGGGGTGATCCAGTGGCTTGCTTGACTGCACATGAAAAAAGGCTTCCACGGAGAAACTGAGTCGAGCGTATGCTGACATGCAGGAGAGGCAGCCTCCATTAGCCTTCGAGCTTCGTTTGCTCAACGAGTAAGAACAGGCGACTGGACAGCTCAGGTCTTGCAGCCCTGTAAATGCCCGCTGTAACAGCCAAACCTGGCGCAAGAAGCATGCCGCGCCACAGTACCATTCAGCAGAGGTCTGATCTGCAGCCCTCAGCCTTGCACAGCAAAAGCACCCTTAGCACAGCAAAAGCAGTAATAAGGCGGTGCTTCGCTTTGCGCAATGGCAGATTCCAGCACTGATGGGCCTGCCAGACTCTCTGATGGGTTTCAGCTGCATCCCACGACAAATTGTGCTGCTGATAGTAAAACATGTAGTGCTAAGAAGAGGATTAACTGCATCTCGGTATGTGTTTGGTTCCGCTCTGATTATGTTATGGTCAGGCGTTGCTGGCATTCGCCAGCTTCCAGGGTTGCTAAAGTGAAGGTTTAGCAATCAGAGGCCCCGTTGCAGTCTCACGATTGTGTTGGGAACCGCCAGCGCGAACAACATTTTTGAACAGCCTAGGGCAAAGCAGATCATCCGCACTGGCCAGGGGTGAGGGAGGGGTTGAGGGACCGCGCTGAGTGCAAGAACGATATCCGCGCGCAACAGCCGGCGGAACTTTGGGTTCTCTGAGTTGTGAAAAAAGGAAAGAACATCTCGACCTTAAGCAAAGGCTGCGTCGCCTGCGGAGCCTGCAGATGCGGAGCTCCTCCCGGCTGAGGTGGGCAGCCTTGAAGAACGCTCGTCTGTCCCTCCCGCTGATTTTAGGCGTCGGCAAACGAGACTCTGCAGCCCCGGCATAGTTTGAAAGCTCAGCTTTAGCTCAAATCCTCTCATCTCTGCGAAGCAGGGGCCTGGGGAGCGGAGATGGCCATCCAGAGTGCCCAGAGTGCGGGTGTCAGACTGAAGTCACCAAAAGTCTTGTGATAAGTGCGACAGCCAAGGTTGGAGGCGGAGGCTGTCAGGGGCTTTCAGCTTTGGCTAGATATTTGCGCTACATGACTGACAGGCTGCTTCCTCATCCAGCTCCAGATTTGGCGCTTTTCTCGGCTCCGCCAGGACCCCATGCGAGCCTGAGCAGCCTGAGCAGCCTATGCCTCATATGCGATGTAAGATCTTCGGAGCAGAGCCGAGGCCTCAAACTTGAGGATGAAGGCCAGCCCCTTCCTCAACAAAGCTCGGCAGGCATGGACCACCCTTGCCTTTGTCCTCTGCCACTCTGCCACTCTTCTGGGAGGCCATCGTGGAAGAGGCCAAGCTGGTGACGGACGATGTTCGTGACATTGCCGGCGGAGTTAGGGAGGGCATGCAGCTCACCAAGCAGGATCTGCAAGCGCAGAGCCAAAACTGGCGGAGTGCCATCGGAGCTCGTTGGCGCAGTTTCGCTCAAAAAGACGAGCCCAAGGGCTATCCTGATGCCAAAGAGGCAGATGCGTCCCCAGAAGCTTCGCCAGCAACCGGCTTCCAGGCAGTCCGGCAAAACATTGCCTTGACTGCAGACGTCTCCAAAGACATGTGGAGGGACGTACGGGAGCTCAAGCAGGAGGTGATGAGTGAAGTTCGGCACAGCGTGCATGACCTCCGACAAGTCAGCAAGCAGGCCATAAGTGACAGAGCACGTAGACAAACGAGATCAAACGAGCACTTTCAAGACATGTGCGGTGATGTGCAGTGGGCTAGCGAAAGGCATCCACTTCTTTCGGACTCTTCATTGACTTGCTGATGTCATTAAATTCACGAAGGCTTGGTGTGTGCGGCTACAAGTAAAGGGGTGACTTTCAAGCAACTTTTCAGGCCAATCTTGGGTAGATCACGCTCATGTAAGCTTGAAGAGACCTCGCTGCGTTCGCCATTGCTTTGAGCTCGTGTGTTGTAACCTGTGCAGGTTTTCCGTGGCAACTCAGATGCACAGGAGAGTGGGACCGCTCCAGAGACAGGCGAGCAGGACTCCAAGGATGGCAAAGGGGGCTTGGACAAGGTGAAGACAGCCGTTTTCCGAAAAGCGGGAAACATCCGGGAAGGTCTCAGAAGCCGGTTGCAGGAGGATCCTAAAGCGGAGGCCTTCTGGACGCTGCCATCTACAAGGGCCAATTATGCAGAGCTTTCTACCGCTCCAAGCTCCAACGAAGCCGTCAACCGCGTGCGATCGTTGGGTGGAAAGCTGAAGGGGAGCCTTGCGCGAAAAGGCCGGGAAGTTTCGTCAGGCGTTGTGAGCATCGCTCAAGGTGTCCGTCAAAAAGGGCAATCCTTGAAGGAAACTGTTGGGCAGAGCGGTCAGGGTGTGCCTCCCAAAACTGACTCGGGCAGTGCCTTGGATGATGCCAACCTCGGAGATTCCATCTTTGCGATTGGGTCCGACGAGGAAGATGCCTGGTCAGATGCCGATGGCTTTTGGGAGGGTCATTCGGATGGCAACTCCTCAGAGACTCCTTCAACCCGCTCTATGTCAGCTCAGGCTGCTGCGGGCATCACGTCCGAGGCAGGCTCAGCGGAGGGCCCCGAGACCGAGCACAAGGAGCTCAAAGAGCCGAAGTAGATGCGAGGCGCGGTGAGCGCGTTTCACCCGGCACAGGCCCAGAGTTTGCGGCAAAGAGCACCCTTTGATAGCATGATTGCTGCTGGCTTGAACCTAGACTCGCTGATCATGCTGATCGTCCTCGACGAAGCTAGCATCAGCTGTAGTTGGCTGATCATGCTCGGGTGTCCCCCAGCAGTCACAAGCTCCAGTCAAGACCCCATCCCTCCAGTCACAACACATGAGCCATAGTCTAAACTCCTAGTCAGTCCCCTCGATAACCCCTAGAGGATTAGTCCACACTGAAATCCCTTATAAAAGCCCCTTTAAGGAGTGTAGATTATGGCTCACATGTCCTCCCAGTCTGAATGTCAAAAGGATTTTAGAGTGGCTTGGACCAAGCGGCACTTGACCTGATGTTCGAAGAAAATGGTCGCCGAGCGGCTGCCCTTGCCAGGCTGCTGCGAGAGCTTTTCCCAGACAATTCTGGACGGGTCGTAGTTCGTACACCCTGCCAAGGGCGAGAGCCGTTCTTGCAAACCCGCGCTCGAACTGCTCCTGCTTTGCTGACCGCAATCGAGGCTTTGAAGGGTGGCTGCTACCTAGAGCATATACCCTTTCGGGCACCCTACAGTCCAAGGCGGGACGTGGACTGCGCGAAGTTGCCCAAGTTGTGGTCACCACCATCTTGGCACTGTGTGCAGCTTGGAAGGGGCGGGGCTTCTTTCAGCACGCTCATTGGAGCGAACCTCAGCTACCTCAGCAAGTGCCATTGAGGCTGGTCCTCCTGGGCATAGTGGCAGCATGGACACACAGGCGCTAACTGTGCAGAATCATGTATTGCGTCATTGTCCGCGAATAGATGCTGCTTCCAGGCAGAGGCTTGGAGGGGCCACGAAAGACCTTTGTCAAAGTCTCTTTGACATGCAGCCTGCTTCAAGCTCAAAGGGGGAGAGCTGATCAACAACTCACAAGGGTCCGTCCATTGCAGCGTCCCGCCCAGGTTGAGGCAGGCTTGCTGCTCTTTGCTGCCACGGTCATAGTGGGGCTGGCACGCTTGATACTGACGACTTTGCCAAGCCTGCAAACGTGGTATGACCCACTTGCTTGAAGTGGAGTATCTAATTGCCAGTGTGCTCGGGCGCGCCAGGCCAATGTTTTCTGCTTGCCATCATTTGGATTGTGGATCGGAGCAGGCGTCGCGCCCTGAGCCTGCTCCCATCGAGTGATCTTGCATGATTTGCTCCGCACGCCGCGTGCCTCCCCTGTAGTTTTGGAATCCTTGGCCAACAAGGTTGTTTTTGCACACATCTTCGATGGCAAGGTTCTGCAAGGAGCTGCTGCAGGCAGGTGGACGCGTTGAACCATGTTGGAAACCTTGAGCTTTCTGCGAGTCTCTGCGTTTCGACTCAGGCACTGCTGCAGTCTTCAGCGGTGTATCCGTTGGTGGACTAATGGCATTTGCTATCGGCTGCAAGCTTAACTTGCTGTGGAGCTGCGCAGTGTCATTCAAGAAGCTGCAAGACTCGACAACCAGTAGCAACACATCGACATAAATCTGGACCAGCAAGAACGGATGCATATTTACCTGGCTTCCGTACACTGCTGCACTAAAGATAAGGCCGCACCCTGTTCCGGTCGTGCCTGGCAAGGAGGCAATTTTGCCCAAATCGTTCGATTTAGTTTTTGTCCGATCGTGGTCATGCATACTGTCTACTGCAAGTGGGGCATCTTATAGGGATTCTGACTTGCAAGTACGTGGAAATTGTCGTGATAACTGCCCACCGGTTGACTCTGGCTGCACACGAGATACAAGAGATATGAAGGTTGCATCCGCCAGCAGCAAACATTTCATTTTGCCAGGCTGCATCGCTTAGAATGGGTCGAGGCTCGATTGCAGGCTGACTTCAACGTTCCAGCCTCGGAACATGCAAGCGCAGGTGCTAGATGAAATCGTCGAGCAGGAAGGCGGCGGGCCCAAGGATCCATCAATCTGAACCCTCAGGTATATCGGATTTGTCAGGCTGGAAGTTCGTGCTCGTGGCAAGAATGAGCCCCTTCTTGCCCTTGGAGGCTCTTGCAACAGAGCTTGTTCCTGACACGCATGACTGCGGCCAGAAAAATGGCCAGAGGCACTTAACTACGCATGTTCGCTGACTTCGCTCAGTGCCACGGGATTTGCACTGGGAAGCAAAAGCCTCAGGAGGCACAGTACAATGCCGTTTGCTTTCTGATTGAGCCATAGGTCTGGGTTCTCTGCCCATCACCGCCTTCTGGGTTTGCTGCTCAGACCGCCACGCCTTGAGCCGCTGGCGGAGAAAACATGCTGCCTGGGGCACTCAGGTATGGACGGCTGCTTCTGCAGAATCACTGCGGATGTCTTCGGAGACAGACAGCAGCGTGACTCCCCGGAAGGCTGAGTTTTTCGGCAATGGCCGCGCGTGTGGTTTGTGAATGATGTAGCCTATGAATCAGAGCTCTGTGTTTCTGTGGAGCAGGTTTACTCGCGCTCTGACTTGGCGGTCATGATTGGCAGACGCCTCAGTTCCTCTGGCAAGACGGCAGGAACAGCAAAAGATGCTTTTTGTTTTTTGGTTCGTCCCTAGTTCTGCGCTGCTGCGCCCCTCTTTGGTACAGAGTCTATAGACTATGTGAGTGATGCGAGGTCGCCAAAACTTTAATTGCTTGGCACCTTCGACAGGCCTAACAGTCATCATGCTATGTGTTCTGACGGGCCTGGTTTGGTCATCGAAAAGAAGGCAACGCAGATTGCTGCGATTCCAAAGTCGTCTTCTCTGGTCTGATACCTTCCGCATTGTATTTGTAGGTACCAGGAAATGCTTGAGCGTCGAATACCTGCTGTGGCCCTCCGTCGAGTAGCGCGATCTCAGGACCTTGTGAATGTGGTCATCTGCAGTTCTGACTTTCCACATGGTGCCAGGACCAAATCACAGCATCACTGTCGCCCGCAGAACTGGCATCACTGTCGCCCGCAGAACTAGCAGGCCCATTCGGCCCTTCCAAAACACAGCACCTTCATTGATTGCAGTGAGCGGGAAGTGTGACTTTGCTGGGGAAAAGGGCTGCTTAAGGAGAAGATAGGATAGGCAACAGCACGTCTGGGCCCTCAATTCAACTGCTGGGTGCACTTTCCTGCACAAGACGCAAGCCCCTTTGCTGAATTGGAAGCTCCTTTTCTGCAACGCTGATCATGGCCTCACTCCCGCCAACGGTTGAAAGCTGATACTTTAGGCCTAGCGGCAGCGGCCGGCCCTGCCGCCTTTGCAGTCAACAGCAGGAGACAGCAATAGCACCAGTGACAGACTCAGCAGCTAACAAGGAAACAGGCGCGGTGACGAAGAGCACAAGAAGTACATCATCGTAGAAGCACAACAAAGTAGAAATAGGAGTGGTTGGAATGTAGTGGCGAATGACAGTAGTGGAGTAGGTCCTGGAAAAGCGAAACGGACCTTTAGCAATGCCGATGATGCTGCATCGTCAGATCAGATCATCGGCATATTCTTCATCTGTTGGCCCTCCTGTGCCCCTTGGCGTGTCCTTCAGTCCAAAGCAGACCCCGAGAATCCTTCAGAAATCCCTCCGTGTGCTGGGGGAAGCTTAGCACGGGTGTAATTGAAACTGCTTTTAGGGTGGCAAAACGGACCCCCCAAATGTGCTGATGATGCTCGCTTAAGGGCGCGCGCCCGTACGTGAGCATCATTAGCATCATTGGGGGTCAAGTGATTTTTTGGTCAGTTGCACCTGCTGTTTTAGCCGCTGAAAATGCCATCAGCCCCGCAAAAAATGCTTGTCAAGTGACCCTCACTCCGCAAAGTCATGGGCACCACCATAAAAAGGCCCGCGTGCAGGTATGAAGAGCCTGCAAAACAATCTTGTAATCTTCATGAAGCCGGCACGTACCTGAAAACCCACACGCAAACCTTATACAATCAGTATAAAACCGCAGAAAACCTGCATAAACCATCATAAACCCTGCAACCCGTTACCCACTTATCAACAGTTTTTTTGATACTTCCATGGAAAAACTCGCAAATCCGGCCTAGAACTCGCGAAAACTTATGATAGCCGCCGTGGTTCCAGCATCCAACCCTCATGGACTCCATCAGGCCGGGAAAGGTGCTTCGAGATGTGAGCTAAAGGGGGTTATAGTTGGGGATTGTGTGGGAGACAAGTATAGGGTCATGACAGAGGATACTAGGAGTTTAGACCATGGCTCATGTTGAGCTGAAAGCTCTGCACTGTGCCAGCCTCTCCATCCCCAACCGCTTTCAGTGCAAGGCTTTGGGCAGGAGATGGGGAGGCTGCAGGGGGACGGGGTTGGACAAGATCGCTCAAACGGTATTAAATGGGGGGGGGGGAAGAGTTGAGGAATTTTGCAGGGGGCGGTCAGGAGGGGCAAAGGAGCTGCGGCGCAACGCCTGCCGGTAAGGCCGTCGGAGGGGGGGTCGGGAGGGATTGAGGGGGTTGTCCAGGCATTCAAGGCCGGGGTCTTGCTTTTTGCGGCCATAATTGAGTGAAGGCAAGGATGGTGGGATCGCTGGCTAGAGAACCCAAGAGGCGGTGTGAGGCTTTCAGTCTCTTGTTTTTTGAGATGGCCCAGCTTGTCCAAGTCCAACATCTGCTCACAAAGATTAACCTAACTTGTTTCGGTACGCTTGTCTCGTGTATTGCAGGCGGTGGACTCGAGTACGAGTATCTTGGCTAAAACGAGCATATTTGTTCAATGAGGCGCTGGCTGCGACAGGATTTCAGAGTGTCCAGTGAGCCATGTAAATTGAATTGTTTTCCACATCTGTTTGCGTTGCTTGGTGTTCTGTCATTTCCACATCTTCCTCGGCCAAAGGCATGAGATGCGCCGTCTGCGCACGAGCACCAATCCAAGAATGTGGTCTTGCCCGACACAATTTGATTTTACACCGCCCAGATGTGACCTTCTTTCGTAGATGCTCTGCCTGCTTGTGTTTAGCGGTGAAACTCTTTGCATCACCCCAGTGGGTCACCTCAATTCAATTGCTTGCCAGGCGCGGGCTCCTGAGCCCCAGCAACTCACCTGAGAACTGAGTGCTGAGAGCGAACATGGCTCTCAAGACTCTCAAAGCTTTACGTATGCCTGGCGTTTAGGGCGTGCTAAGTAACCTAATAGCATTTCACACCTTATGCGAGCTTCAGCCTAAAGTGCTGGAAAAACAAGCATGTGTTGGCCTTGACCTGAGTACCGCTTGTTCATATCGCGCTGTTTCCTGTATGTATGCTTGCTGCCGCCTTCCTGCTGCAAGGGTCATGGGGTATGGAGGATGCATCTACAACGCTTGGTTTTCTACTGCTGCATATCCTACGTATCCACATTCAGGATTCACTCTGACGTTCACGCAAGCCGTTTGGCCTACCATGGAATCGGCTGGGGCGGAGGCCTGAGCTGGGGAAGTGAAGGAACGAAGAGCTGAGAGAGTCAGAGCACCACAAGAGCTCGGTCCGGTCTGCCAGGCCAAGCCCGAATGGCGGGGTGCTGTCGGCCTGATGCCCCAGATGCTGGACATTCGGTAATTGACAGTGAACTGTTTCAGCTGAGAGGTGGCAAATTCACAGATCGCATCACTGCTGGAAACCTACATTGCTTGGAATTGCAGATGTTTTTTTGGGAGAGCACCAGAGCGTCAACTACTCATCGTGCATGATTTCATATGATGTCAGATTATCCACATGAGTCCATGGACATTTAGGCACCATGATCTGGCGAATCCTACTGGTCTAGAACGCCGTCCAAGAGATGCAAGACAAACTGCCTAAGAAGAGCCAAGGCCTTACCTCTTCTACGCAGACAAGTGGATGTGCCGTTCAAGTATGGCGCAGCGGATGGGCCGATATCTGATCACGACCTGCAATTGCAGCCAGATTTCAGTGGAAGATAATGAAGAGCGTTTATCGTGCTTCCGAGGTTGGCACAGCAGGGATTCGGCAGGCAGATGTCTGCAAATATGACCGCCCTGCACATTGTCCACATCGTCTTGTCCAGCATCTTTGCAACGCAGGTATTTCAACGATCTAGATGGTCTCCATCCAAGTCAGGGCAAGCGCATGTTCAAGACCGTTGGTGGTGAGGCCAATTCCTGCACCTGCTTGTGTAAGGTAAATTCTTGATGCGCTCCTCAGCCATGACCTATTATGCATTATAGATTGGACTCTAGCCAGAAGGTTTCGGATTGGGAGAAAGACACTCACCAGAAGCGTTCCGGTCCTCGCAAATTCAAGAACTGGAAAACGTATTCACGCACCCACCAACTTACTATGTGACCATTGGCCCAAACAGGAAAGGAAATAGCACGTCAGTTTTCATTTGAGCAAATAGTTGTGGTGGGAGCGCATGGGCATTTGTGTCGGCTACCGTGTGAATCTGCTTGCACGTTGCAGTGACGAAGGGCAAGAAGCGGAGCGCAGCTTCATAGGAGTTTCTCGTGGCGACGTAACTATTGCTGCGTGGCGTTTGGAAGTCGATTGTGCGAGACATGTAATTCCTAGTCAAGGACTGTTTCCTTGCCTGCTGTCTTGCTGGAGCATGCAGTGTCCGAAAAGGCTCCTCATCTCAAAACTCTGATGGAAGCCCCATTTCTTGGATGTTGCGTCTGCCTCCCACAGAGTGGTGAAGTATGCTGCGGAGTGTTGGGTCCGCGGTCCAACCGCAGCAGCTGAAATGAAAGCATTGTAGGCCGCCTGCTGGACAGCAACCCAGAGGTTTTCCCCGACGCCGGCCCTCCCGTGTGCGGCACCTCGTCACGCTCAGGCTCCCTCGGGCGCTGCTCCGTTTTGCAGGCCACAGGGGCAAGCACCAGGTTCCGAGCGGTGTCCTCGAGAGGTGCGGGGTTGCTCGTGGAGGTCGTGGTCGTCTTGGCGCCACAAAGATCGGCATGAAAAGGGTGACTGTGAAAACTTTGCACATAGCCTGCGGCCTGCGGTTTCAACCAATTGGCAACATGGCCATAGGAACGAGATTTCTTTTTAAAGTTTAGCTTCTTCGGACTTTGACATCCACATCCGCTCATAGCCGTTCGACAACCATTAGCCGGCAATCGCTGTCGCGGCCAATGCATGGCCCACGCATGAGCACCTCGCAGACGCATGATTGCAAGGCATCCTTTTCGCCAAGCGTCCCGAGTCAATCCTAGCATGCAACCTTTCACAACCTGAATACCTTCCCCCGACCAGGACTTGTGTCCTGCAGGCAGAAACGCTTCTTGAGAAAAAAACAAACATCCAGCAGGCACAGGACACTGCCTGCACTCCGAGCACAGCGAAGGAGGAAGCTCAAAAGCCGAGCCATTGCCGCATTTGTTGCCAACTTCCCAGTTGCAGCTCAAAGTGGGTCCGGCAGTTTTGCTCGCTGGCGGCGCTACACATGCAAAAAAAGCGTAGTGTTGTCAGCGACTCGTCAATGGACGGGACATCCAATTTCATATCCTGTTCGGATCACATGCGTGGTGACCCACGCGCCCGCCTCAAGCAGATGTGAGCGGCTGATAGCGGTTGCTTCTTTCCAACAGCTGCGTTCTGCATTGTTCACACACCATTAAACACCCCACAACGATGGTGGCCTACAGCGCGTTGCGCAGCGGTCAGCGCGGCGGCAAGCAAACGCCCTCTGATGTCAAATGCCACCGTGAGGGGAGCACCACCTAAGTTTTGAGAAGCGTCAATATTTATGACTCATAAAAGTGTGATCTGCATCCGTAACACTCACGGAACGTAGCCAATGCCTGCGTAAGACTCAGACGTCAATGAGATCCAGGATGCACTAAACCTAGAACATAATGCCACAAGCTCACGAGCCAGCAACGTGACGATAAAAAAACGCCTGATGTCACGCATCTTACTGTTGAGGTCCCAAAGAAAATCGAAATCAGCCCCCCAAAGACACCCAAAGAAAAGCCAAAAACCCAAATACGATCAAATAGGCCAGAAAAACAATGCCGTTACTGCCCAATGCCCATGTCGAACTTTTCGTCGCTCGATGGCCTTCGAAGCGCAGGGCTGCTTACACATCTGCAGTCCCACCCAACAGCCTCACGTGGAGGTGGAGAGCTGCAATTGGCATTCGTTCAGGGTTAATCGTGCAAAGAGTTTATTGAGCGCGGCGGCAGTTTTGAATGTCATGTCCGGCAGCAATCCGGGAGCGTCGTTACATGTCGTTACACAGAGAAAGGAATGTGTCGGAGAGTGCTACAATTGCCAGCGGATGGGGATGCGGCTGTGTGTGGGCTTGCTGAAGGACCGACTTGACTGGACCCACATGGCGTTCCCACTTCCGTGTGTTTTGTGCCGCTTGATGCTCGGCTTGCAGTTTCGGGCCAGATGGATTTTCAAATTTTTGCGGTGGTTGCCGCGGGGCTACAAATGCGTATCCATGCGTGCTACCGTTGGCAAGCTCGATTTTCCCTTCCTTGAAACCGAGCTGCTACTTTCGTCCAAGTGTTTTCAGTGCCATATTGTAAAGCACTTCGTATCAGTTCGTGTTGAAGATGGGTGCCTGCGCTCCTCATTTCTCATGTTCCTGAGCTTGCCCGAGCCTTGTCCATGACAGCGCGCGCCAGTTCGGCTTGCTCAAACAGTCTCACTGTCGAATCGTCGTCGACGTGCGCGCAAATCCTGCTTGCGCCTGTGACCAGAAAGTTGGGAGATTCATTGTCCGGCTTGAGTAATTCGTCGGCATAAGCGCCTGACCAGTCTACTGTCACATACAGCCACAAGCATTTTGCATTTTTCGCCTGCAGATGAGCAAAAATTCTTGCGCATGATTAATCAGGATCACCGAAAACTGTGTGCGAGGAGGCCGTAACCGCTCTTGGCCCGTAAAAAACAAAGCATTTTCTCGTTGAGCACCGACACCAAAACAGTCCGTTGCCGAGCGCGGAAGGGGGCGGCAAGGCGTGCAGCAAGTAGTGGCAACGCGGGCCGCGCGCATGAGCAACAGCAACCATGCCTGCCGCCTACAAGTCCGGGACGGTTGGTATCTTGGAAGACGATGCTTGCGCATCGATCCTTTGTCGCAGGAACACGTCAACAAAAACGTCGCTGCGCAATGGCGTCGACCGTGCTTGGCCGGGAAGGAAAAGGCGCCAGGTTGCGGCGGCACCTTTGCCGCAACGCCTTCTGGCTCCATGCGTGCGGCGTTCCGCGTTGCCAAGGTGTACGTTTATGTTGGCGTGATTGGCCAGTGCGCTGCCGTGGGCACGCAAGGTTGGGACGATTTTTTTTTTACACGCTCCGTTTTTGGACGATCCGCGGTCCCAGTGCATGGCGGTGCTTAGCAGGCCAGATTCCAAGGCGGTAGCTCAGAGGCTGCACAAGTCCAGGGCGTTGAGGAAACGCGCGCGACAGGCCAAGTCCACGACTCACTGCTCAGGCCGCAGCGGGAGGCGGCTGGCAAGCGGGGGAAGGACGATGGCACGGTCTTCCGCGAGGAGATCGCTGAGCTCGAGCGCGGCGCCATCGACGTTGGCTGCATTGGCGAGGGGAAGGGACAGGAGGCTGGCTGCGACGGCTCTGGCTGCGGCAAATGACAGAAGCGCAGACCAGCGAACGCATAGGCTGCCGTGGCGCCAGCGCGGAGCAGGGATGGGGCCGAGCGTGCGCGGCTGCGAGCGAGGAACCTGATAAACTGTGCTGCTTCAGAGCTCCACCTGCCACCAATTTCAATTCCAAGCACCACCAGGCGCGTCGATTGGAGCAGCTCAGGGTAAGTGCGTTCCTTGGCACGCCGGGCGACACGCAGAGCTGCGCCGGTTGTGCGCCGCTGATGGCGGCGTGGCTGGCCCGCCGAATCCAGGGCCGAAACCAAGGTGGTGTCGACCGCCAACTACGCCCCTCCCCAAAGTGGGAGACCGTTGGCGATGACCTCTATGCGACGGTCATCCTGCCGTGACAAGGTTGAGGTCCCGTAAACGTTGGTGGCGACGGTCGCCCCGGCAAGGGCAGGTGGCCGGGACAAGAGGCAATTGCAGGCGAAGGCAGCGCAACACCAACGCGGAAGGAGGCTGAGTCGAGCCGGAGATCGGGACGGGTGGGCAAGGCCGTGAGAACCCTGGCCGCGAACGGTCCTGCTTGAGACGCGAGAAGGTTCGGGAAGAGGCATTGGGGCGCTGTGCCAGGGATGCGGCGGCTTGTCCGTCGATGGCCCGGGAGGCCGAACGCTGCCAACCGGGACGTCATCGTCGAGCTCTTCTTGCGGGGGGGGGGGAAGTTGGTCCCAGAGAAGAGGCGCAAATCCCGCGGTGACTAGGCCGGCTGCTGCCTCTTGGAGGGCTGCTAGGCATGGCGAAGCGCAGGGCCGACCTTGCAACTGGCGAACGGCGGTCCCCAACAAGACCGGGTCGCGCACGGCTACAACTTGCAGGCTATCGGCCCACGACGCAAAGTAGGCTGCTGGGGCATGCGCGGTCGCACTTCGAAGTCCAAGCCTTCCATGCTGCAACGCCAGCTGCGCGCGTTCCACAGGGCATACAAATCACTGCGACCCGTTGCACGTGAGCCATGTGAGCCCTGGGTAGAGAGATTCGGACCTGAACCAAGCGTCTGCAGTCGCTAGTGACAATACAGACGAGTCGCACATATGGCGGAGACGTCAAAGCAGCGTTGGGTCTCATAGCCTTCGAGAAAGCCATCGTTGCGCGTGACACAAAGAAGCTACAAAGTGCACACGGCGGCCAGGGCACGGGAAATGCCGGCCCGTCTGTGAGCCGTTGCCCGCCAGGCCTCTTTGCACCGCTGATGGGCATGCTGGCAATCGCTGCGCAGCGGGCCTTTGCCCACTGATTGTTGGAACTGCCGCCAGCGAGTGTTGATGCGAGCAGCGACGCCAAGCCGCCCCTGGGCGAACTGCTGACGGACGCACGTGGCAAGCGGAGTGTGCCAAACCGCTTTGCCCGCCCTGATGGGGCCAAAAGGTCAGCTCTCCGGCCGCTGGCAGCTGCGAGGGGCCAAAAGCGCTCCTGCCGACAGCGACCGGGACCTGTCGAGCAGATGGAAAAGTCCGAAGAAAAAAAAGGGTCCCTAGCTTTCACACCAGCATCAAGGAAGAGCATCCCTTGGGAGTTCATCGTTGCATCGGG